TATAAATAGCAAGGGAGATTGGGCCAGTAGCCAAATTTGCCTCCAGTCCTCCTCGCCATTCAGACTTGGGCATCCATGACTTATTGTGGGGAGGATCCTGGGCAGGCTCTCAGGGGTAGGGAGCTGGAGGGTCGGGGCTGAAGGCCACAGAGACAGACATGGACAGAGAAGGGTGTGGCAGGGAGCTTCGAGGTGGTGGGAGGATTCGAGTTCAGGTCAGATTCTCCCCCAACATGGTTCTGGAGTCTTAAATTTTGCTGCTGGAGAAGGAACTCTGGGCCAGAAACCCTCCCAAGGGCCACTTGAAGGCTCTGACCACTCCTCCAGGGAGCAGATGCATGGGCCCAGGTGGCTGCCAGCAGACGGCAGCTGGGGACTGGAGTGGAAGTGGTGCCCTCAGGAAACAGGCCACACACTCACCCCAGCCTGCTCTCCCCAGCCTAATTAGAGACCGGAATGGCATTGATCGTCCCTGAGCTCATTATGTCACAGCTGGGGAACAGCTGGCCAGTCTTTTCCAGGCCATTAGCTGCGCCATGAAGTGGAGAGAGGGAGGGCGTGGGTGAGCAGGATCAATACCCTGTCTGTCTGTGGGGGAAGAGGGCTGGTGGCTGCCTCCTCTGGCACTGAGCTGTGCTTCTCGGGCTACAGCCCTGGCTTGAGCTCCTCAGAGTTCACACAGGAAAGCTCAGCTCCTTCGATCCTGTGCCTGGAGAGATGGATTCCTGGCTTCTGTGAAGATGCTGACTCGGCCCACAGGGACGCTTGGAGGCTTCTGTCTCAGGGGATTGGCAAAGACTCTGATTACCTACCCGGATCAGAGGGGACCTGAAAGTCCAGCTCCTCTCCACCCCCAAGGCAAGATGACACCTAAGGCAGCTGTTTATATTGGCCGAGGGCCACCTCTCTGTGCCCCAGGGCTCAGCAGGATTTGGTTTCCTTTCAGGTGGGGAGATGGCAGGGGATCCTCTGACCCTTGGGGAATAGAGGCACTGAAAGGAGAGGGAGGGAAAAGATGATAGTTCTCACATCTTCTCCTTCTGCTTCCCCCTGGCCTGGGCAAGCAGCCAGTCATCTGGCAGTGCTGGAAGCAGGTCCCCATACTGCCTAATCCCAGGAGTCCCACCCTCAGGAGGAGTCCAGCATTATTCAATGAGCCAGCTTTTTGCTTATGGGGTTGAAAATTGTCAAAGCTGGAAGGAACCTGAAAAGTATTCCAGCCACACTCCTCATTTTATGGAGGGGGAGAGCCAGCTGTAATAAGCCTTAAGCTGTGCCATGCCTGGCTGATTCTGCTATCAGAAGCTCATTTCAGTGCTCTCTATTCCTCTCCCCTGTGCTCCTAGTGTGTTTTACTATAGCCCTGAGGTTTCTCAGATACATGTCCTTAGGCCAACACTGGGCTACTGGGCTCCTCTCCATCCTACCTCAGCACCACCAAGGGAAACAGTCCCAGGCCCTCCTGTCCTCATGGGTCCAGCTACAGGGTTCCTAGGCATTCCCTCTGCCCCACTGAACAGAGGCCAGGCTGGTACAGCACCCTTTGCTGCCCAAAATCCACACAATGACCTCCATTTCCAGAATCAGCAGTGAATAGAGCATCAGAATAGGAATCAGCAGCCAGAATTCCAGACTTGAGTTCCTTCTGGGCCCAGCTCCAGTCCCAAAGAGCCAGCACATGGATTTAACTAGATGTATACAATGGGCAGAAAGGCCTTTAAAATGTATTCCTTGTGTTACAGATGAGGGGGCTGCATCCCAGGGAGAAGGCTCAGGCACACCCAGAGGTCCGCTTGTGATCGGGTTTCCCAACTTCCAGATGGTCAGTGTCGGTCCATTTTAGTATAAGGCCTCAGCTCTAGATCTATCCAGCAAATCCCCAGACCAAGCCCTTTCTTTGGGCTCTCAGAACAGTGAGGGGCCCAGGATCAGCCAGAAGCATATTGGTCACACCACTGCCACCAGAAGTACCCCCTTCTCAGGTGAGCCTTGGTTGGTTCAGGAGCAGCTGCTATCCAAAGGGTGGAGCAGAGGCTGCTAGGCTCTGCTGTGTCTGATTTTCAAGCCATCTGTCTGTCTGGTCTAAGAAGTGCTCAGGGCAGAAGGAGCGTGATGATAACCTGGTGTTGCTAGAATTCTCTCCAGCACAAGGATGCTCAGGGATGAAATGAATTAGAAACACAGCATTGCTCCTTCTGCTGGCTTTGGGAAGAAAGGGAATGCCCATGTGGGCTAGAAGATAACAAAGCAAGAAGACTGGGAATCGGGGAGCACACATAAAGGAGCCACAGGGGCCAACTTCCTGAGGCCATCCACAGAGTACCTCATCTTCAGGTCTTCTCTTCGCTCCAGAACAGAGAGTGACAGCTTTAAGCAACAGGAACTAAGATACCAAACCCCTGTGGTTCCAGCTGGAATGTGGGGGCTGGTGGAGGGGATGTCAGATAACCTGGAGAAGGAAGATCAGCGTGGGATGCTTCAGGGCCAGAGGTCTGGGATGGAGGTCATTGTGAAAGCAGAGGAGTGCTCTGAGAAGTCAAAGCCACAGGAAACAGAACCCCCGAGGTAGGATGGTGCTCCTGGGAAGGGAGGTGAGGAAGATAAAAATGTCTGTGTTGCAGAAAGACATTGTTAACATCCTGACATGTGTCCCATGGGTGCCATTTGTTAGCTTTGTGGATTTTGGCAGGTCCCAGATCTGATCAGGGCAAGTCCTGATCTGTGAAAAATGCTAAGAGCAATATTTGTCTCCCAGGTTGCTGTGGCTCTAAGGCTCACATGAGGGAATGTGGGTGAAAGTCTTTGGAAAGTGTTTCAAACCATAATGATGATTTTCTTTTCATTACCTCACGGTGATATCAGCTCCTCTTCAGCCATGAGGCCTTAGGACCTTGATTCTTAAGTTGCCAGAGACTGGTTTGCATCTTAACACTGTTTACATAAGTATTTTTGTCAGGAGCAACAGAAGCAAAGGGGCTTTCCTTCTAGAAGGGACTAGCCAGGCCACACAAGCAGACGTTTATGAATCTGTAACAGCATGAACCAGGCCCCACAGGGTCTCTGCTCATAGAAGGTGCTGGAAACCGAGGCCTCCAAGACTCACACACGTCATACATGCACAGACACAGACATGTGCACCACGGAAAGCCCTGGTCTCTTTGCCATCAGTGGTGCCTTTCTAGGTGCTGTGCCTCCTCCATTCTCAGTTCATGAGAGAATTCATCTGTTTCTAAGAATAACAACATTGAGATGGTAACTGGATGAAGAAATGAAAGAGACATGAGAACTGAAAGGACAGTTTTACATTCATTAGTTGCAGTTTTCTGGGAGAAAAAAGATACTATTATGATTTATATTTGCTGGGCCAGGGATTTAACTCAGTGGTGCCACTGCCTGCCTTGCATGTGCAAGGTCCCGAGTTCGATTCCTGGTATTAAAAAAAAAAGCAGCACTGTATTTGGGGCCATGTTTTATGACTTACAAAGCACTGGCACATATGTTATTATTATTTAAGCCACATGGTACTTTCATGACATCAGTACTGAGGCTCAGAGAGGTAAACTAACTCAGATCATCCAATTGGTATGTGACAAGTAGAGTACTCAGTCTAGGTCATTTACCCCAAATCCTGATCATTCTCTATGCTGCTTTACTGCTTCTCACTTCTTATTAACTCTCAGCTCTTATCAAAAGTCTCTCCTGCCAGAGTCCAAAGATACAGGACTCTTTGTTTGCTACACATGATTTTTAATTTTTTAAATTTTGAAATAGTTTCAGATTTACAAAAAGTTGCAAAGAACTCCTGCACACCTTCCACTCAATTCCTTTGTTTCATATTTCAATGTTGTCATACTTTGTCCCCGTATGAATCTTCTCTCTGCCCTATTTTGGGGTTTTTTGTTGTTGTTGTTGTTGTTGTTGTTGTTGTTGTTTTGGTACCTTTGGTACCGGGGATCGAACTAAGGTCCTTGCGCTTGCACAGCAGGCAGCGAAACCACTGAGCTAAATCCCCGGCCTCTCTGCCCTATTTTGTATATATTCATTCATGGAAATTCTGACTCATGGGAGAGTATGTTGCAAACATGATGCCATATTACCCCTTCACACTTCAGTGTGTATTCACCAAACAAAAAGATATTCTCTTGTATAACCACAGCACCACATCACAACTGGGAAATTAGACTTAACACAAAACAACCATCAAATCTAAAGACCCCATTCAAATTTCATTGATTCTTCTAATAACATTTTTTATAGATGCACAAATAAGTCTAGGATCATATGATGCATTTAGTTTTCTTGTCTTTTGAGTCCATCTGGAACAGTTCCTCAGTCTTTTATAATCCTGGTATGTGTGTGTGTGTGTGCTGGAAATTAAACTCAAGGCCTCACACATGCTAGGCAGGCACTCTACCACTGAGCTACATCTCCAGCCTTTAATATTTTTGGAAAATATAGCCAAGTTACTTTGCAGAATGTCCCTCAATTTGGATTTGGTGGGCGTTACCTTAATGTGTGGTATTAATGAGTTCAGGTTATATACTTTTGTCAAGAATACTGTAGAAGTGATGCTGCATTCTCAGTTCATGTCAACAAGAGGCATAAATGCTATTTTGTGGCGTTACCCATGATATTAACTTTGATCACTTGGTTAAGATTGAGACTGCATAAATATATTCCTTGTCAAACTTTCACACACTAGTTTTAACATCCACTGCTAGTTCTTGTCTAAATCATTTATTACTATGATGGTTATCAAATGGCAATTTTCTAATTTCATCCTTTTTCTATATTTCCAAGCATCTCTCTCCACATATAAATTCATCTATTTCTATTTTACTCAAAGAGTTACAGCTTAATACTAAAATTATTTATTTTGATGCCTAAGTTGTCCTGGATTTGGACTGTGAGCACATTCTGGGTTCTCTATCCTTTTGACAGATTTCCATCACTCCTTGAGTATGTCCTTACTTTCTAGCAAAACAAGATGTTCCAGGTTCTAATTTCTAGGCTGATTTCTTTCAAGTGGAAAATGGTATTTAGAAGCCAAGACCTTGGTGCTTGGTGTCCTCACAGGCATTGTATCTTTCAGAGAGAACACTTTCATTTATGCTAGAAAGAAATATGTACACACATCTACATTTATTTATATTAAAAACATGAGTTCAAATGACTTCCCCGATTCTCACTAAGGCCACAGGGTTTGTTCCCTTTCCACATGTGTAATTACTGTCACTACCCACGAGAAATATGGCTTCTGTTGTCCTTAGTATGCTTCCTGTTTGCCCAGTCTTTTGCTTGTAATCAATCTCCTACCCACACAGATCACCTTCTTTGCCCCAGGCTCACCAAACAAGCTGATTGGAGCAGCCAAATCTCCGTCTCAGCCACGACCACATCAGCTATACTGGCTGAATCCTCCATCCAGATCGAAGGTAAGTGGGGAGAGGAAGAGTACATTATATAATTTTTAAAGGATTGGATTTATTGAAAAATTCATCACATTGAAGCCAATTCCATCATTATTCAGACATTTGTCATGTAACTCAAATATATTTGTTCCAACAACAGAGCACTTTACTGTTTCTAAAAGAGTATTTATGAAGTTACTTTGAGCCAGTATTTATGAAGTTACTGCTAGGTTAATCTGAGAAACACATTATAATTGTGTGTATGTGTGTGTTCATTTTATTTATTTATTTATTTTTTGGTACCAGGGATTGAACTCGGGACCTTGAGCTTTCCAGGCAGGCAGTGGCACCACTGAGCTAAATTCCTGGCCCCATTCTACATTTTTAAAGCTGTCTTATAATCTGTTCTTCTGTTTTATATCATGATAGAGTAAAGACCGTTTGCCCTACTGACACATTCAGAAACAAATTGCAAACAATGTGTGTCAAAGACTGATTGGTTGTTTACCAAACCATTTCCTTTTACCTCATGTGTACACAGCTTGACTACATTTCCCAGCCTCTCTTGCAGTCAGGTGTGGTTACATGACTGAATTTGGGCCAATAGAATGTGGCAGAAATGGTAAATTAAATGCCACTTTCAGACCAAGTCCATAAAACCTTCCACAACATCTTGCATGATCCTTGTCTCTTCGCTCATCTTCTGACTGGATGTTGAGGATCCACTGGAGAATTTCAAAGCCTGTAGCTGTGTGAAGAGCCAGCAGATGGGTCCTTGAATTGCTATGTAGAAGGCCGCCAAGGAAATACTTCTTCTTTTTTTTTTTTCCGTTACCGGGGATTGAACTCGTGTCCTTGCGCTTGCGCAGCAGGAGGCGAAACCACTAAGCTAAATCCCTGGCCCTGGAAATACTTCTATTATGTGACACTTCCATTACTCTCAGTGACATTTGAGATTTGGGGGTTATTGGTTACATCACTTAGTTCACCCTAGCCAATGCCAAAAATAAGAGTTGCCCGAGTTTACCCTTTAGAAGTGATAAAGTATAATGTCAAATAAGACCTTCTGATCCCTACCTGAGGGTTCTTTTCATCAGATCAGACCAGATAGCATGAACTTAGTACCTTAGGAAATTCTGACCTTATGTTTCAGAATTTCTTACTATTCCGAAAGCAGGAATTTCCCCCTTAGGCTTGCCAGTATAACATTAACCTTACCTTTTCTTCTTTCCCTTTCCTAAGGGGTCTGTGACCCCCATTTACTTTGTTTTTTCTTGGATTTGTCTACATCAGGTGAAAACATCTAGTTTGTCTAATACCTGATCTCCTCAGAGGAAAGCTTATCCACCCCTCCAATTTCCTACAAGTGAACTCTGCAGTTGGTGTAAAGGTGGTGGCAGGGCCCACAGTCTGGGCTGGGCCAAAATGCCTGGTAGGCAAATTAATTTCTTCCTCTGCACTCAATCAGCCAGCAGCAGTTACTGCTCTAATGAGAAGGCTTCCCCACATCCTGTCTTTTTGCAAACTGCTAACTACTGAGTCTGCAAGTTAGCACAGCCTAGGATGCTAGAAACTGAAATTTTCCTAAAGAGGATGTTCCTTAATCTCCCTCCAGCCAAGACAAATTTTCAAGACCAAAAGAGTGAAGTGAGAGGAAGGTGGAAGTGGGGTAATCGTATAGGAAAAAGGAAATTCATCCTAGAGAGATGGCCACCAGAAGCATTGGCAGGTTTCCCAGCCCAGGATTACAAGGAAACACCATAGTCAAATTTCAGAGTTAGTCAGAAATCATGATTCTATAACTAAGCAAAGCTACAAGGTCATCATGCCTCATTTCATAAGAGAAAATGGGGGACCAGAGTGATTAAGAACCATGTCTAAAGTTACAGAGGTAGTATGAGTCTCGACCAATGCTCTATGCACTTTTTTACTCTTAGCTTGCCGGTGTGATGGAAACCATTCAGTTCAAGGAATGGGAGCAGCAGATGTAATTAGGATACTAAATGCTGGCATGTGTGGTCCCTAAGGACTCATCACTCCATGCCCTTGACCAACCTCTAGCCTCCCTGAAAGCTTTGCCTGCTTCTCTGAAAATCACCCACCAGGGACTGACATAAACAGTCTGTCTGGGGTGAGTCTCTCAATTCCAAGGTGAAGCAGGAGAGGGAACATTTCCCCTTAGAACTCTAGAGCATCTGGGAAGGGGAAGTGTTTCCAGACTGGAAAGGCATGGAAATTTCCCTGAACCCAGAAACATGCTTGGAATAGTATCAACAGCCGCATCACCACTCCAGCCTAGCCTTGTTAGTGAGGCAAGCCGAAATCAGGGAGATAATTAGCTTGCTGTTATTTATTCCCCACACTAATCAGCAGCCCACTGCTTGCACAGTGGAGAGGGCCCCCACCCCGAAAGCTGTGGGGGTTCTCAGGGACCTTTAGCTACTAGCCAGGAAACAAGTAGCAGCAATAGACACAGGGCTGGGAAGAGGGACAGAGTGGGGAGGAGACCCACGCTCTGTGAAGCTTCTGCATCACTCCTGGACCCAAGGGGAGAGGCAGCCCAGGGAGGGCCAGGAGCCCAAGGCAGGGGTACAGTCCTTTTCATTTTGTTCTCGGGGCTGGGCTTTGGTCGATAAAGGGCGGCTGGTGTTCAGCTCCCTGTTCTGCCTCACTGCAGTCAAATTGCCTTTTTCCAAGGCAATTTTCAAAAAAAGATGACATTTATCAAAGCCTTCTGAGTGGTGACCTTGGTGGGAGGGAGAAAGGGTGGATGTACTGTCTGTGGAAGCAGGCATGGAAAGTGAGGAAAACCTGCAGGGAAGGGAATGCTTTCAAACCTCAAAGGTGTTGGAACAATCATGGGGAGATGGCTCTAGGTTTAGGGACAGTCACTCCATGTTCCACTGCATTCACTACTGCCCACTTCCTCATTCTCACAGCATATTCTCATTGGCATTACCTGGCTTATCAGCCACAACAATCAACTGAAGATGCTCCATTTGAATACCAATCTCTGTGAAGGGCTCGGGCCCCTGATTCAATAACTGTGTAAACTAGAGAAGCTTATGATCAGTAGCAGTTCCAGAATTTCCATTTAGGACAGTCTGAGAGACTGCCATTTGTGGAAAGGTGGATATCCTAAACCTAGCTGTGTTCGCATAGTAGCACAGTGCTGTTGTTGTTTTAATAAATATTGTGCATCAGTTTGGAGTAGCTCTGCTAAAGCACCTTCCCCTGCCCAAGCTACCTCATGTAGGCCTAGGGAAGGCCTCTCCACACTTCCTTCCTTTCTGTTCTGTGGCCCCTGGAAGTCCTTTGTACCCACTTTCACTGGCTTTCACTGTCATCATACATCTGTGTCTAATTTCCTTTACTAAGTTGTGATACTCTTTCACATTTCTACTCCTACACACTCACAAACAAGAGTTCTTGAAATGTGTGAATGGAGGTGTGTTCAATAGAGTGAATGAAAAAGTAAATGCATGGACTGGTAAAAATTTTGTTGTGATGGGAGTTTCAGTACCTTAAAATGGAAATGATTCATTATTAGATGACTGAAATGTCAGAAGACTTTTCTAAACATGGAATGGAAATCCATTTCTCTGGCATTTTCCCCCAGTTGTAAAGTACTGCCCTTTAGAGGCACAGAAAACTAGAAGTTCTTGATCAAGGTATCTATGGACACACCTCCCAGTCAATGTATATAAAATCAGATGTGTCTCTGTGTATGTGCTTGGGGGAGGGAATTCATTGGTTTCACAAACAGATCTATATTACCAAATGTAAGAGTCACTCTTCATTTCTTTACTTCCTCTTTCTTATGAAAACAAATACTACACATTTACTATTGGTCAGCTTTCCCACCACTGGGACACAATATCTGACACACACAACTTAAAAGGGGGAGAGGTTTAGTTTGGTTCATGGTTTTAGGGGATTCAGTCCATAGTCTGTTGGCCCCCAAGTCAGAAATATTTGGCAGGATGGTGTAGCAGAGTAAAGATGCTTAGTTCATGGTGCCCAGGAAGTAGAAGGGGAACACTGCTAGAGAAGAAGGGATGAGAAACCAGATATAGATCCCAAGGTCATGCCTCCATGACTCACCCAGAGTGTGCTTTATTAATTCCCTGGGCAGTTCCCAAGCCAATCAAGTTGCCAATCCACCTTAACCATCACAGGTCTCAAAATTTCCCACTCTTTTAGATTTTCCTTCTTTATTTTTGCCCTTCCTTTTCTGAAGAAAGTAGATCCCTAAGATATTACATAATTGAGCAAAACTAACCCTTCTACTCTAGCCACAGGTGATTAGATAGGGATTAGTTCACATACTAAAATTAGGGTGGGGCACACAGAGGTCAAGGTAAAGTTATTCATAAGAATTCTCCCCCTGGGCCAGGGATTTAGCTCAGTGGTTTTGCCGCCTGCTGTGGAAGCGCAAAGACCCAAGTTCAATCCCTGGTACCAAAAAAAATAAAAAGAAATCTAACTTTTGGGCCGGGGATTTAGCTCAGTGGTGCTGCCGGCTGCCTCGCAAATACAAGGTCCCGAGTTTGATCCCTGGTACCAAAAAAAAAAAAAAAAAAAGAATTCTCCCCCTAAAAAGTGCTCCATATTGGCTTGTAGCAATTTGACTCATTCAAAACCTCTTTTGGGGCCGGGGATTTAGCTCAGTGGTTCCGCTGCCTGCCTCGCAAGCAAAAGGTCCTGAGATCGATCCCTGGTACCAAAAACAAAAACAAAAACAAAACCTCTCTTGGGGGGAAGTAAACATCCTGGTGGAAAGGTAGGCAACTTCTGGGTTGCAAGCCTCTTTTTACCATTTCAAAACACTATTTTAATTCTCTAAGTCATGGAAGCACTGGGCCCTCAGTTACTAGCTAATAAGATAATACCACAGCTACCCTTGGGGTTCTGCACCCTCAGACTTCTTTCTGAAACTCTTCCTTTGCAGCTCGGAAGATTCTCACTAAGACATAGCATTTCAACTTTCAGAAGTGCTTATGATGACTTCTTCCTAAAGCAAAAGTTTTGTATGGCTCAGCCTCAAATATGAGCTGTCAGTTTCCTCATAATTCTCATTTAATCCTCACAAAATCCTCTAATAGTGGTTATCAAATTTAGAGGTTCAAAGGATCACCTTGGATCACCTTAAATATAGCCCCCCAGACTTCTGTCTCCAGCATTCTAAGCAAATCTGGGGCCAGCCTTGTAATCCTCTAAATTCCTTGGAGGTTCTGATGTAGGTAATTTGAGGCCATACATGAAGAACACCACCCTAAAGGCTAGCGTTTCCCAACTTCTGTGATCAAAATACTTCCCAGGTGCCTCCCATGAAGATTCTGATTTAGTGGGCCAGGGGCTCTGGAATTTGTACTGTTAATAGGCAAGTGTTATAACCTCTATTTTATATGTGAGAAAACTGAATCCCAGGTAACTTATACATAGTTGCGCAGCTAGTTGATGACTGGAGTAAGACTAGAATGCAGCCGATGTGTGTCTGTGCATATGTGCGTGTGCATGCATGTGTGTTACTGAGAATCAGACCTAGGGGTGCTAGGGGTGCTCTACCACTGAGCTATATCTCCAGCCCTTTTTTTCTTTTTTTGAGACTGGGTCTTGCTAGATTTTCCAGGCAGGATTTGAACTTGGAATCCTTCAGCTGCAGCCTCCCAAAGTACTGAGATTACAACTGTGTGCCCCTGTACCCAGTGAATCTAGCTGTCTTAAAGTCAGTCTAATGCTCTTTCTACCAAACCCCAACATAACAGCTAAAACTTGAACACCGCAGTCAATTCATAGATGTTTGCTACATTAAACTGAATCCATATATCTTACTTTCTACATTCCAGAGAGAAGAAACTATTTCCAAAGCATATTTGCATCCCACCCCACCCAGCCTCAACGTAAGGCATGTAGCCCAGTGCTCTGCCCCAGAGGCTCAACAGATGTCTGTGAGCAAAGGCATATGACAGGATTCTGCACTGTACACTGTTCCATCAACTACTTCCAGCTATGCTCCAGACTGGAAATGAGCTGACCAGAACTGAACTCAATACTCCAACTATGATCTGACCCAAACTGAATACAGCAGAAACTCCTTTGCCTGTGGTTTCAAAGGAATGGTAGTACTCTATTAAGGGGAGCCAGACCTTGGCCTTCCTGTTGGCTTGGTATGTGCCCTCACAGGAGCTGACAGGAACTGACTGCTCTATTACTGACCTTGAGTAATAGTCCTATTCTCTCACAAGGCCCCTAGCTTCCCATTTGTCAACACCTAGATCTTTGCTCTGGTCATAACCTGGACCTAGAGTTGTGGAACACAGGCCTTGGAGAACACAAGCCATAGACCACACAGTCCACCCACACCCTTACACATCCCCTTTATCTGCTTGGCACTGCCCCCTGGTAATGTTATAATGAACTGAAAAGAGACCTGACCCAGGCAAGAGATAGCTCCTACCCACCTCCCCACATATACATAGTACTTAATGCCTCTTGGAGACTATTAGGATGTTTGCGCTTGTTAAATCTTCACAACAATCCCCTTAGGTAGGTAATTCTTATTATCCCCTCCCCCTCATATTACAGGTTAAGTAACTAGCTCAAGTCAAATAGTGAGTGGCACAGCCAGGACCCTAACCCAAGAAGCCTGGCTTTGGAGACTGCACTCTGAATCACAAAGCTACATTCTTTTCCTGGCTCTACTAGGAGCCAGCTTGTGAATTTGACTGCTAAGTTCTCTTCTAGCATTGGGAATTCTAAAGTTCTTTAGTCTGAGAAACAGTAAGGAACAGTATAAGTGTTGAAATACTTCAAACACAAATCAGTAGGCTCAGAAAGTGTTATTAGAGGAAAAACATCTATTAACTCAAAGGGTTAATTAAATGGTCACAGATCCAGAAGAAAATCCCTAACTATAAGTTTAACAGTTTAACGATAATTCCTTCCAAAATCGAAAGCACTGACTTCCTAAACTGGAATATTAACTTTCCAAATACAACACAAACTAATCAAGGAGTCATATGTTATGAAAATTAGCTGAGAAGTCTCATCATTAGCTAGGATTTCATTTTAGTTAAAAAGTTTTTAGTTAAAAGAGAGTGTTGCACATACAAGAAAAAAATTCGTATTTATGACAAAACTCCTTAATTAAAAAAATACCAAAATCTTTTTGCAGGACCACATGGCAGGAGCTCCAGGAGAGTCTTATTTATAGTGATGTTTTGGAACCAAAGTCCTCCATCTCTGGGATAGGCGCAGGCTGACTGTGGCATTGGAACCCTACCACTAGCAGCTAAAATAACATTCTGAACCATGAATTTGCCAGCCATATTTCAAAGAAACATGTATCTGACGATTTGGTCCAGGACTATTTTGAGATGTCTGCATGTGAGTATCAAAAGTCAAGAAAACATTCATGATTTAGCCATCTCCTGGAATGATCACCTCTATGAAGACAGGATAAACCTGCCACTCACTGCATGACTTGCCTTAGCTACTGAGACTGTAATATGGAGGACAGTAAGAATTACTTGCCTAAACAAAGTACTATCAGATTTGCTTGACAAACCTGAGGAGTCCAGGACTCTGAAAGGCATCTATGGCACTCCTCACCCACACCAGAAATTCCTGTTCTGCACCTAGCTAATGTGCATACCCTTGTGGTTCCACCAGACCAACTGCAGCTTCCAAGAAGTGTGTAGGATTAACGTGGAAAAGGTAAAGAGTGGCAAAAAATGGAGACTGATACCACTTGTCACAGAGAATAAACCCATGAGAAAGCATGCTAAGAAGAAAGTGAAAAAGTTAGACAGGTCAATGAAATGAGTGGGGCTTTATAGAGGCAGGGATGGGGGTGCAGGCAATAGAAGTACTCTGGGTTGATCTTAAGGGACAAAACAAAAAAATGGGAATATAGGTGAACTGCTAGATATAGAAAGGGTTCAATCCAATGGGGAGGGCTAAAATTTTAGTGCTTTAAGCAATTTACTCATCTTTTTTGATACCTATTCCAAAATAGCTTCATTTTAGATTCCCTTTCTTTTTTGCAGATGTTCCAAGGACTACAAAACTTGCTGATATCAGTAATATACTTGGAGTTCTCCAAACAATGAAGGAATATTTAAAATACTAAATTAAATTTCTATTTAAAATCTATATCTAAAAAATTTAAAAGCTGATTAGGGGAGAGAGAGAGAGAACGAACCTGAAAATATAAGTAAATGTTCCAAACAAGCAATGCTCTCGGATGTGAGAATAAGATAGACAATTCTGCAAGGCAATCTGTATATATGTTGGGAGTGAGAGCAGAGTACCTCCTAATTTCATTGAGAAAACTAGAATTTTAAAAAATAATTATGTGATAAAAGTTTTACAACTATAAGCTCATTTGATCCTTAGGATAATCTGGTGACATAAGCTCAGGCTAAATCTACTATTCCCATTTCATAGATAATGGAATGGGATTTAGTAGAGTCTCACTGTAAGTCCACTATATAGCTGTGCCTTGTCCAGTCCAGGTTTATGCTTCCTCCCTACCCTCACACCAGGCACTGAGAAGCTAACATAATGAATATGCTAATATGATACCATTATTAATTGAAGTATTAATTCAACAAACATTTTAAATGCCAAATCCATGGCAAACCCTGCCTTCAAGAGGTTTACAGTCCAATGGAGGGAGCAAATATTTAACAGACAAAAGAGCATATGAAAAGCTCTAAATGAAATGGAATCACAGAAAGGAATACCTGATTGCACCCAGCATATTAGACTACATTGCCCTAAAAGGATAGTTAACCTTAGTGAGTCTTTAAAAAGGAGGCCAAAGTAGGTTCTTGATAGGGTGTCTTCCCCAGCATTTTCTGCTCTGATTCTAAAGTCCAGTACCAGTCAGCAAGGAAACAAACAAACAAACAAACAAACTACACTCCTACTGTGAAGAAAAGCAATTCATCTAGTCTTATAACCAGGCAGGTATTTCCACCCTCTTCTGCTCACTTACTGAGCTAACCAAACAACCTTTCAAATAGTATTTAGGAACATGGGGTTAATCCATTCGAGCAAGCAGAAATAAATACTGACTATAAATAACCTGTTGCTATTTATCTTGTGCCGGTCCTCTTTTGTTGTGAATTAATAGATAGTTGTTCTGGTATAAAAAGCAGCTGTAGGAAAGTTATTACATGAGTCAATTCTCTTTCTATACCAGTGCCATCCAGTGGAACTTTCTGTGATGATATGTTCAGTGTGGTTACTGAGCCTTTACAATGTGGTTAGGGAAACTGAAGAAGTGATCTGTAATGTTACTTAATTTAAATTAACTTGGTCACATACATGTAATGGCTACCTACTTTGATAGCGCAACTCTAGACCCTTGCTGCTCAACTTGTGGTCTCTGGATCATCAACACTGGCATCACCTTGTTAACTCGTTAGAAATGCAGAACCTCAGGTACTATCCCAGACCTAACAATTCAGAATCTCTGGGGATTTTTTCTTTCTCTTTTTTTTGAGACTGGATCTTGCTATGTTGTCCAGGCTGGCCTTGAACTTGAGATCCTTTCGCCACCACGCCCAACCAGAATCCTTGTGTTAGAGCCTCAGGTAATTTGTATGCACATTAAATTTTTTTTAAAAAAAACATAGTTCCTTCCAGATGAGCTAGGACTCTGTGTTGACCCCTCCAAATTATAGACACCCACTCTTAATATTAATCTCCAGCATAAAGGAGAAATTTTGCTTTCTTTGCATCTGTCACTCCTTTACCTTTTAGACACGCCAAAAAGAGAAAAGGGAGAGGAGGAAAGAGCCAGGAACACTGGGGTTTAAAGAAAGTATAGGATGGAAGGATGAAGGATGAAGGATAGGTGGGGAAAGGATGTATTCATCTGGGATATCTGCACAAAATAGTGCTTTTTTGACAATTATTGAATATGGATGATGGGTATATGGAAGTTCGCTATATTATTTTCTATACTTTTGTGTATGTTTGAATTATTTTTTTTTTAATTTTGGTACCAGGGATTGAACTCAGGTCCTTGTGCTTGTGAGGCAGGTGGTGGCAACACTGAGCCGCCTAAATCCCCGGCCTCTGAAAATTTTTAATATTAAAAAAATGGGGGCCAGGGATTTAGCTCAGTGGCACTGCACCTGCCTCACAAGTGCAAGGTCCTGAGTTCAATCTCCAGTACTGGAAAACAAAAAGTGGGATTTCAGAGATATATGTGTAATAAGCAGCCCAAGATGCCCTCCAATGATCTGCTGCTTCTGGAATTCATTTCCTTGTGTAGTCTTCCATATTGAATCAGGAATTGTCTATGTCACTGAAGTGGTAACATGCAAAACTTTAAAGAGATAAATCATTGTGACTTCTGTCTTGCTCCCTCCTGCTCTGAGGGAAGTCAGCTCTATGCTATTAGGGCACAAGCACAGGACAGGGCTTCAAGGAGAGGCACCAGTTTTTCCTCCCAACAGCCAGCCACACTAGGAAGTGATCCTCTGCAGAAGTTGATCCTCTGGCTGCAGTCCATCCTTCCAATGACTGCAACTTCAGTTGACATATATACCTGTGACTACACAAGAAACCTCCAAGTTAGGACGGTATACCATGCCACTCTCAAATCTCTGACCAGCAGAAATAGTGAAAAATAATATATCATATTATTATCAGATTGGGGGGAATCTTGTAGGGCTTCTTTCCAGGTCCTTGGTGTCCCAAACTAAGAACTGAATAAGATACACAGAAAAGGCAGCAGGGGTGTTTATTTACTGTGGGCAGAAAAGAGGAACATTCTACAGGACAAGAATAGGTTGGTAAAAAGGTTCACAGTGGCCTCAAGGATAAGCAGAAAGGGGTCTTTAGTAGCCCAAATGCCCAGGTTGTCTTTCCCTTCAAGCAAAGGAGGCACTGGGACATTTGTCCTATCAAAAACTCAATTGCCCTCATGCCAGGTAGGAACTGTCCTATAGAAAAAACTTGCTTGATTTCTTGCCAGATGTAAATGAAGGAGAAGAAACGGTGTCTTTTGATTGGTTGTGCCCACATGTAAATGATCAAAAATGGCATCTTCTGGTTGGTCCTGCAAGTAACAAAAGATTCAAACGAAGGGCTGAAAATATCATTTTCTGATTGGTTCCCTATACAGTGCTCAGGAACCATGGAGTCGTTTTGGGTCCTGTATTCTGCACATGTCCTCTCTTTTTAGGAGACATCTTGCTCAACCTGCTGGCCATGGGTTTTTATAACCTTTGACATGTTCCACCCAGTTAGTTGTCCAGTTTTCCCCAACCTTTATCTCCTACATCAGTATTATAGTAAGTCTCTATAATATTGTTTTGGGGTAATTTGTCATGCAGCAATAGATAACTGATGGGATGTGATTTCAGGATTCCTCCCTTCCTGCTCATCAAAAATAACACCCTCTTTGCCTCCTCACCAGTGCCTGATGTGAGTAGGAGAATAAATTTTTTTTTTCACAATATGGGTAACACGGTAATACCCCTTGAAGATACCACATCCACTTAAATTCATGGTAAAATATATTTGACAAGTATAAATTTATTTTTAAAAACTTAGCAGGCTAATCGACTGAGACATTAACTTCAGTCTTAAGTCTTGCTGTTGTAAAAGACTAGAAAGAATAAAATGGTAATTTCTCCCTCAGGGCCCACCATCTCAAAAATAGCTAAACATTTTAAAGAATAAGGTCTTGGCTCTTTCTACAGCCCGTTGCCCCACCCCCAACCCTAACAACATACGTTGGTTAACAGCTTGTGTTTCAGGGGCCACCCTAGAAAAGACACCCCCATCCCCACCACTGGCCTTCATCTAGAGGATTAGGTAATAGACAAACTGCTGGAACTGCACCCTAAGGCAAGGGGAAACTGGTTCAGGAAGAGGGCAGGTGGCCAGACTGAAGGGATAAATTACTTCCTTCAGGCTGGGAAGGGTTTTGGAGTTTCTAGGAATAGAAACCTGCCCCTGGCTTGCAGGCAGTCCCTTCTGTGTGTTTAGGGGGTAGGGTAGTAATAGGACCTTGGGGTCTAGACTCAAGAGTCCAAAGGGGAGCCTCCCCCCATCCTGCCCAGCTGGCATGCAGGCTATGGAGCTGTGATTTTCAGGTACTCCAAGAATTATGAACTAGTGGCATCAAGACTAAAGGGGAAAAGGAAACAAAACGAACCTTTCCCCAAATTTTTGAAATTTCAGCCCCAGAGAGAAGGGAGGAGGAACCTCAAAATGTGACTAATGAACTTCCCGCCAACACTGACAGGCGGGAGCTGAGCCAGACTTGTTTAATTTGGAAAACTGAGATACGTGACGCTTCCTGCCCTGGACTCAGCTGCGGCAAATACACTCCAGGGAGACAAACTTTTCCTGCCAGCAGTTTTGGGTAGGAGGAAGGTACCTGGGGGTAAGAAGGCTGGACGAGGGGGTAAAAGAAGAAGGAAGAATATGGAGGAAGTCGGAGAGGAGCTTAAGGGGCCAGTGCCCCCCTTCCTGACACTTTTCGTCACCAGCTCAGCACCGGGAGAGGTTTACCCAGACAAGGACCTTGGGGCGGACACTGACCGGGCACTCCGCGCGCACCTGCGGGAGTGGCTCCAACACAAACACACGCACGTGCGCCCCGCCCCCGCCGCGCGCACGCGCCCTGAGGCTCCAGCGGCGACGACGGGCGCGCGCGCGGTGCTCGCTGCCCCCACGCTGCTCCCTCGGCTCGGATTGCGGCGCCTCCAGCTCGCAGCCACCGCTCCACGCCGGGCCCGCCGACCTGAAGGTTGCGGCTGTGCTCGGTGGGCTACGGCGAGCGCAGCGGTCGAGGCGGAGAAGGGGGTGAGCGCCCCGGAGCCCCGGAAGTCCCCTGGAGGCGGTGTTGCCTGGCGCGGGCCCCTGCGTAAGACGGGCGCCGTGACAGGCCGGCCAGTGAGGCGCCGCCGGGGGAGGCCGCGACGGAGCTCCAAGACTGGCCATGGGCTGAGACACATCCTCGCCGAGCAGGTGCAGTGACCAGAGGTCCCGGGGGGAGCCCGCCCTGACAGGCCCCGGAAACCATAAACCCCTTCCGGACGCGCCCTAAGCTGCCCGGTGCCCTGTTGACCTTCCCTCTGCTCCTCCCAAAAGGACCTGCTGACCCCGCCTCCAAACCTCACGCCTGCGGTCCTAGTGATCCCCAACAGTCCCGGACATCCTGTGCATACCCCCATTCTACACCCATGATCCCAACCCACTAGGCCCTTGAACCACTTCCCTTTTTGCCCCAGTATTCTGAGGCCACTGCCTACCTGCATAGTGCCTGGGAAGTACCTAGCATCTCTTCCTTTCTCTTCTAACCCAGTGGGGTAGGGGTGGGGGGAGGGGGAAGTGGGAGTGGCCATCCTACCCTCCAGAGTCCCAGGTGACCGTAAACCCATCCTCTTTCTCTCAAGCTTGTAGTGAAAGTGACCCTTCTGCGCCCCACCCACCGGAAAACATGCCCGGGTGACTCCCTCCTAGATCTTCCTTGTGGCCTTCCTCATCCTCTGTAGTGACACTATGCAACCCCAGTGTGACCTGCGAGGCCTCTGGCTCCTGCTGCTGTCCTTGTTCCTGATCCTCTTTGAGGTGGCCAGAGCTGGCCGACCAGTGGCTAGCTGTCCTGCTGCCTGCCTGTGTGCCAGCAACATCCTCAGCTGCTCCAAACAGCAACTGCCCAATGTGCCCCATTCCTTACCCAGCTACACAGCACTACTGGACCTCAGCCACAACAACCTGAGCCGCCTTCGAGCTGAGTGGACCCCTACACACCTGATCCACCTGCATTCCCTGCTGCTGAGCCACAATCACCTGAACTTCATCTCCTCTGAGGCCTTTTCCCCAGTACCCAACCTGCGCTACCTGGACCTCTCCTCCAACCAGCTGCGAACACTGGACGAGTTTCTGTTCACTGAACTGCAAGCACTGGAGGTTCTGCTGCTCTACAATAACCATATCATGGCGGTGGACCGCTGTGCCTTCGATGACATGGCCCAGCTCCAGAAACTCTACTTGAGCCAGAACCAGATCTCCCGTTTCCCTCTGGAACTGGTCAATGAAAGAGCCAAGCGACCCAAACTAACACTCTTGGATCTGTCCTCCAACAAGCTGAAGACCTTGCCACTGAGTGACCTGCAGAAACTGCCAGCATGGATCAAGAATGGACTTTACCTACATAACAACCCCCTGGAATGCACCTGCAAGCTTTACCAGCTCTTTTCACACTGGCAGTACCGGCAGCTGAGCTCTGTTATGGACTTTCAGGAGGATCTGTACTGTGTGCGCTCCAAGGAGCTACACAGTGTCTTCAACCTGAGTTTCCTCAACTGCAGCGAGTACAAGGAGAGTGCCTGGGAGGCTCACCTGGGTGACACCTTCACTATCAACTGTGACACCAAGCAGCAGGGCATGACTAAGGTGTGGGTAACACCGAGCAATGAACAAGTGCTAGATGAGGTGGCCAATGGCACAGTGAGAGTGAGAGTCAAGGATGGCAATCTTCAATTTGAAAAGGTGCAGGTTGAAGATGGGGGTGTGTATACCTGCCATGCTATGGGGGAAACATTCAATGAGACACTGTCTGTGGAGTTGAAAGTATACAACTTCACCTTGCATGGACACCATGACACCCTCAACACAGCTTATACCACCCTAGTGGGTTGTATCCTCAGTGTGGTTCTGGTCCTCATATACCTGTATCTCACCCCTTGCCGCTGCTGGTGCCGGGGTGTAGAGAAGCCTTCCAGCCATCAAGGTGACAGCCTCAGCTCTTCCATGCTTAGTACCACACCCAACCATGATCCTATGGCTGGTGGGGACAAAGATGATGGTTTTGACCGGCGGGTGGCCTTCCTGGAACCTGCTGGACCTGGACAAGGTCAGAACGGCAAGCTCAAGCCAGGTAACACCCTGCCAGTGCCCGAGGCAACAGGCAAGGGCCAACGAAGGATGTCAGATCCAGAATCTGTCAGCTCGGTCTTCTCTGATACACCCATTGTGGTGTGAGCACAATAGGTTGGTGGGGAGATTCTGCCCCAGAAGAGGTAATGCACCCCTGAAGGATATGAGGGGATGGAAGAGAGGGCTGGCTGCCCAAGGGAGTGGGTTCCTCCTGACCTCCAGGGAATTGGTCATGGGCACAGCAGCAGGCAAGATCCCATTGAGGGTGTGGCTGCCACGAGTTTCCAATATGGATATGTTAATCCTCAGGCAAATGCTACACCCCTACCCAAAGCCCTGGCAATTCTCAGTGTAGGAGAGGAAGAGGAGCATGTCTGAGATGGATGAGAATGAGGACGAGGTAAAGGGACGAGCAGATTCCCTAAACTTTTTTGAGGTCATCCCTAGCTCCTTAAAGGAAAATCATTTGAAAACAATTTTTTTTTTGTCTCTGCCCACCCACACCTGTGAAGTTGTGTGTGTTGGGAGAGCCTCCACAGGAGCCATGTTGGGAAAGCTGCAATATCTTCTTTGGTCAGGAAGTCTTCACAGCTGGCGAATTGAAAATCTTTGGAAAATGAGTCAGGAAAAGGCTGAGCCCTGGATCAGTAATGCTCCCCAAAGTTGTTGTGAGCCTTTCCACTAGCCTCTTTCCCAGTGAGCCCTGGATAGATGGATATCTTAGCAGGAGCCTGGCCTGTTGCCTGTGATGGCAGCATGTAGGATTTGCTGTCTGTGCCTTGTAGTGGGACCAGTGGCACAGTTACAGCATAAATTGAGAGGTCCCCATCACAGAATAGCTGCTAGCACAAAACTTGTAGATGGGGGTGAACTCCAGATAGGCTATTTCCCTGGTTGGAGAAACCCTTGGTTAACATTTGATTCCCAGCATCTATGTGTCAGACCAGTGGGTTGCTGAAGGCAGAACTTTTAACAGATTCCTGTTGTAGATGTGGTTTGTTGGCCCACGGTCTCCAGAAGGATGAGGGTAAATCAGCTTCTGTGATGTAGCAGGCAGCTGGACCCACCTGATTTTCTGTGTATGCCATCTCTTTAGTCTTCTTATCAAGCTAAGGTGGGATTCTGAGTTTTCCTTAATACGCTGCTCTGCAAAGAGAAAAATTTAGGAAAGGCTGTCCCCAGCTGGGTTAGACTGGTGTGGAGGTTGAGAGAACCCAATAGGTATCTCCTCTGTGTTGACAAGGCTGCCTCACTCCTCTCTCAGAGATCTCACTCTTGTTGCAAAGCCAAATCATGGGATTTTGTCATCTGAAGGGTTGGAATTGGGTGGTCTCTGTCTCAGAATGGCAATTTGGAGTGCAGCTTGGAGTTCTACCGTGCATAAAGCTCAAGGCAATACTGTAGCAGAGGCAACCAATGGCAAAACACTTTCAGATGGAAAGTTCTGCCACTCCATCCCTCAGCCAGAGGTCTGTGCAGTTGTGGTTGTTAGGCCAGAAGAACATAAGAACCTTAGTTTCCAGCTAGAATTGTAGATTAGGTTGGGTATGAAGATGACTGCTCCCTTTAACCATAGTACAGCCCTGGGAGATGGTAGCTGTGAGCTTTGGCAGACGGATGAGCAGGGCAAAGATAAAAATGTTCTTTGATGTTGGTCCTTTTTAGTGTCTCTTCTCTCCTATGTTTCCTGTCTCTTGAAAGTTCTCCAGGTCCTCTAGTTGTTTTTTTTTTCCCTTTTAGGTTCTAAGAGGTGTTATTTACCTGTGGGTAAGGACTGCTTGCTAGGAGGCCCTGACGCTTAAGCTGCCTGTTAATATTGGGGAAGGGACTTGGAAGTCACCATCTTTCCCTTATCTGTCTCTGGGATCTCAAGGTTGCTCTCCATCTTTTATTAGTAACCTAGTTTTGTCGAGAGAGGTGCAGCAATTTCCCTCAAGTAGTTGCATGCTCATAGGTGTGCATGCTCATAAGTATGCATGCACAGCAGCACCTTGACCTCCACCAAGACAGTGGATCTATAGTCCCCACTAATGCCACTTCCAGTACAGTCTCTCGCCTTGTGCACAACTTTATGCACACAATTTTCTTGTGCCGTAGGAGAGACAGTGACCATGCCAGGCTTTTCAAATACACAAATTATTATACTTTAATTTCTGAACTCACTAAACCTTCACATCTCCATGACTCTGAATCGCTTCTCTGCAAAAGCTAGAGTTAGAGGGACCATGGGTTGAAGATCTCTGGAGAAGGGGGTCATGAGGCCCTAGGTAGGTCTTCAGACTCCTGGGAAACCTTCCTTGAAAACTACATATACACAATACTAAGAACTAGGGCAGTGAAGGACCCAGAAGGAAGCTGGCAGGGGCCGAGCAGCTATGAATTGATCTTAATGATAACTGCCCTAATAAGACCAAAGTAAGAGAAAAACGTTTTCTGGCTATACCCCCGAGACTTAAAAGGATTTTGTTACCAGAGCAATAGGCAGCAGGACTCCCTCCTCAGACTTAGCAAGAAACATGGGAAAATATTTTTTCATGCTGCAGATTTCCCTCTTGATACTACCCTTTGCTCTGAAACTCTTACAGTGAAAGTCAAATGAAACAATCCTTCTGAGGCATTCTAGCTGAGTTCCCCAGGGCTAGGAGGGCCATTTTCTTCCTGAGTCCTACCTTGAAGCTCTAAGCCTCCTTACTGTTTGGGATACCTTGAAGATGTGCCTGGATGCCCCACTAAGATTAGCCTCTTCCCATGGTTTCAGTTGATAAAACCCAAAGGTAGCTTTCTACTTGGGGAACTGAATACTCACCAAGAGCATGCAATTCACCAAGTCCTCCAGAACCTGGGTAGAAAATTTTCAGGTGTGGTTATAAGACAAGGCTGAGAGACCACCTGCTCCCCTCACCCTACCCTGCACCCATAAGCCAGACATATCTCCCAGGAAGCAGGTGTCCTTGGAGACAAGAGTATGACTGGGCTGTGCAATCTGTTCATGTAATTATTTATGATCGTTTCTTCTTTGCTTGTATTAGGCCCCTGAGAGGGGGCCAGGAGAGGGTATATTTCAGCTGGGGAGAGCAAAGCTAACTGATTCCAGTTTTGTGTGTGTTCTTACCTCTGTATGTTCTCCTGTGTCCAGGACCCTGTCCCTCCCACTTGTGTACACCCAGGCTGGCAGATCTCAGAGCATCTGGGCTCTGAAAACTAGATAATGACCATTAAACCTGGCTTGAGTCTCTGTTCTGGCATTGTCTGTGGCTGGTTCATTTATCTTTTCAGCCTGTGGGCGGGGTTTACTGTACCTCATATGGGTGTAGCCAGTCTAGTCTAGAGAGAGAATCTTTAAATGCCATTACAGGGACATGGGTAAAATCCACATCTAAGCACTAAGATAGATTAGGGGTCAGAAAACTTTTTTAGTCACAAGACAGATAGTAAATACTTTAGGCTTTGTAGGCCACACAGTCTGTTATACTTCAGCTGTGCTGCTATACCCTGAAGGGTTCACAGACAGTGAAAGAATGAATGATTGTGGCTCTGTTCCAATGTTGTAGTCCATTTTTTGTTGCTATAATGAAATACTTCAGGCTGAATATTTTATAAAGAGGTTTATTTAGCTCACAGTTTTGAAGAATAAAAGTCAAAGATCAGGTGGCCCCATCTCGTTGACCTCTGGTGAGGGCCTTATGTTGATGACATCACAGTGATGGGAACACAGATGGAAGAGATCACATGGTGAGACAGGAAGACAGAGATTCCAGGGGTCAGGCTTCTTTTTTTGTAACAACTTGCTCTTGCAGGAACTAACCAGGGTCCCATGAAAACTACATTAATCTCTCCCAGGAGTGATGCTGACCAAGTCCCACCTCTTAAAGTTTCTACCACTTCTCAAAACAACCATACTAGGGACCAAGCTTCCAGTACATGAACCTTTGGGGTACAAATTCAAATAATAACCAAACCATAGCATATAATAAAACTTTATTTATGGACATTGAAATTTGAATTATATATAATTTCAATATGTCTTTTGAGGTTTTTTGTTTGTAATCATTTAAAAATGTAAAAACTATTAGTAGATTACAGACCACACAAATCCAGGCAATGGAGTGGTTTGACCAGTGGGCCATAGTTTGCCAACCTCTGAGACTATTACTGAGGCTTTAGCAGCAAGAGTTTAGACATCCTATAACTTGGAGGCAATGAAGTTTTCCTGGGTCTTTGGGGAGGAGGGTTGTCTTCTCCACAGAATTCTCTTAAAAGTCTAGATTGAGCTTACTAATGGTACTGTGGGAAAATGCTTGGAATGGGTTTTAAATAATATTGGGAAACTGCTCACTTATATGTAATTATGATTATTACCAGCATATTTTCATGTTGCAAATGGTAGCCATCTTAAGGCTAAAAGTATGTTCATCGAATGCACAGATTAATATTGACAGTTTAGTGTGTTCTAGGTATTGTGTGGAATGAGAAAATGCAGCCCTCACTGTTTTGGTATAGACATAGCCTACCAGAAACTGGAATGGATTCTAAATTCTGATCAGCCAAATTCCTTGGCTACTCTCTTGGTACTTCCAGAAGGGGATTGTCATGGTAGATACCAAAGGGAAAGAGAACATGTTACAAGGGGAAAATGAAAAAGAAATTGAAAGAGTAAGAATTTGTATAATTACCTAATTTCTTACATTTGTAAAATCTGAAAAGGCAGATCCCAGTCTGGAAAGTGTGCATGTATGCCTGTGTGTGTGCACATGTATGTGTGTGTGTGTGTGTGTTATGTATGTATATGTATGTGTGTCCTGGAAATTGAACCAGTCCCTAACATATATTAGGGCAAACACTAGCTGCACCCCCGGCCTTTTTATATTACTTTAAAATTTTGGGACAGGATCTGGCTAAATTCCCCAGGCTGGCCTCGAACTTGAAATCCTCTAGCCTCATCCTCCCAAATAGCTGGGATGATAGGCATGCACTATCATGCTGGCTGGAAGTTAAAGCTTTTTCACTTCATGAGAAACAGCTGAGCTGATGAAGGATAGAGACATCTTACAACCAGTCACATCAGAAAAATGAACCTTGGCAATCAGTAAAACGATGGATTTTCATGTCAGAGCTCTCCCATAGTCCACATTTATAGATTTTTGTGTTTGCAAAGTTTTTTCTGTGGCTGACAGTTTGGCCTAGAGGATGAAGCTAGTAAAGAAACAGACTGGGAAAGACCACCTATTTTCTCTTCTATCTTGGCCTGTGCCATCCCTATCTCTGAGTCTGACAGGGTTTGTTTTGTTCTTTGCAGTATTGTAGATTAAACCCAGGGCCCTCACACTGTTCTACATCTCCATCCTATTACACAATCAATAGGGTCTCCCTAAGTTGCTAAGTTCCCCAGGCTGGGATTAAATTTGCAAGCCTCCTGCCTCAGCTTCCCAGAGTTCTGGATTATAGACCTGTGCCACCAGGCTTGTCTTAAGTCTAAGTTTTGATATTCTTCTTTCCATCATCCCAAGGAAGTCCACAGCTGTATTGCTTCAACTCTTCCTGCCCTACCCCACCTAAAGTCACAAGAAGTTCCTAGATCTTTGCCAAAATGTGCAATTGTGTTTGCCATGGCTCACAGTACTTTCTCTTGCTCTCCGCTGCCCTTAAGTAGCACTTGGAGGAGGCTAATGTGACAGTTGCCTTTTAGAACAGAAAATGAGAGTTCAGATCATGGGCTAGCCTATTTCTTTTACCTGCTCTCTCAACTCCTCCCCTTTCTGTATCTGTACCACTTAAGTTGTCTCCCAGGAAACTAGTGGAGTAGCTTCACTTTCCCTACCCAAATAGCATGAAAGGCTCAGGCTCCTTCAGTAGGACAGTGGCTTTTCTGGGCAGGCCACAGTAAATCTGTGCTGGATGCTGCTGCTCCTAGGGCTTGAGAGAGGAAAGCTAAAGCAGCTATCAATCAAGCCTTTTCATCAGCTATATATACTGACAGGTGGAAAATATCAAATGTCGAAGATACTTAAGGTACATCCTGGGACCTTCCTAGTCAGCCTAGTTATTATCCCCTAAGCAAAGAAGGCATAGAACAGCGGCCTGAGAGAACCATCCTTCAGTGAGCCAGAACATGCAGCTGTGCAGTGGGACCACCAAGTCTTTGGCACTGGCATACATAAAGTCAGTCATTGCCCCCAAAGCCAGGGATGTGTACATATGTATGTGCATAGTGCACACACAGGTTGAGAGGATTGGAGTTGCATGGTACTTGGTGCTGCTTTTCTCTCACCTACCACTTCTCCCTTAGTTTTCATAACTTGCTTCTGGTGTGGGACTAAGCAGAACTGAGCACACTTAGGATGCACTGTGAGGTAACCAGGAATCTGCATTAAAGATAGCAGTGCTGGGGGTACTCAGGTATATTCACTGAGACAAAGTTGACTCCTCAGATACGACAGAATAGCCTGAAATGGTTCCTTAGTCTGCTTCCAAAAGAGGTTAAACTCACCTGGGAAATTCTGACAATAGTAGGTGGGTTAAAAATGGACTGTTATTCAGAGACTGCATTGGTAACTAGCCAAGCCTTGGGGTGTGTGGGGGGTTACTAGTCACTGGAAGTAATTTTGTCTGCATTAAGCCCAGCCCAGGGCTCAGACTACTGCCACCCGCCCTCCGGGACAGATCTAGGGCACTATCCTCCCACCTTTCAGTTTATGCCTTCTTTGTGCCCATGCTTGTGAGAATGGCTGAGATTATGCCCACAATGCCTGATTAGTATTTAATTCCTGGATCCCAGGACAGGAAAAAAACACGATAAAAACCAAATATTCAACCCTTTGTGATGCTGTTGCTCCCGTCTCTCTGCATTCACTCTAGGCAGACTGCTGCCTGTTCTCGGACAAATGGAGTGGAAAGTATCCTCCTTCCTCTAATTTCAAATTTAAACAGACTTTCATGTTGTGTGTGTGTGTGTGTGTGTGTGAAATTCAGTAAAGCATTTGGAGGAAGATGAGAAGACTGATCCTATACCAAGAGCCTGAAATAAGGAAGGGAAACCAAGCTGTGGATCCCTGGAAACAAGAAGCCATGTCCCTCACAGTTCTGCATCCCCAGTGCCTGGCATGAGGGCTTGAGGATACAGAAGGAAAACCAGAGGGTTGGGATGACAATGTGGTATTTTCTATTGTTCCTCACTTCCTGGCTTATGTACCCCTCTTCCCTGAGGACAAAATTAGGGAGAAGATGTTTAGACAAACCTGTGATGAGCAGCTCCTAGTATCTACTCTGGGTACTTCAGGTTAGACCTGGTGGACAGATTAGCAGTTAGCCCCATGACTTGAACACGCTAGGTAGGCAGCAATTAGGGCAAACCTCACTGGTCATGGCCTTGGTGGCATTTCTGGCAGGAATGCGTAAGAACTGACCTTGCATCTTGAAAGAAATGTGTCTGTGTTCTCTTATGATAGCACAACCTCTCAGACTTGGGTCCCCCAAGCATCATTATCCATAAATGTTTGCTGCCTCCCTAGGAAGCATAAAGCCCAGAGCCAGGCTCAGTGAGACAGAAAAGGACAAGAACACAATAATACCACCTGATACATATGTTTAATGCTTTGAACTTCCCATCTCCTGTTAACATGCTTTTTCACATCTAACTCTCTCAACATCCCTGTGAGGTAGGTTGAGTAGCCAGCTGCTTTGCCCATGGCCACAGCAGTGGTGGGGGCTGAGTAAACTGATACAGCAGTTTTCCCAGCTCCCAGGCCAATGTATCTTTTATATCACGATGCACAGGCTATTTATGGCAACCAGACATAGGGACACTAAACCAGAAGCCTCCCTGCATCCTGAGCTTGCAGAGGGGCACCAGAAAAAGCTGAGGTTTGGCCAAGAGGACCCAGGGTGCCCCCTAGAGGCTATGGCAGGTAAACAGAAGGAAACGCAGGAGTACTAGAGGTTCCAGGTCATCAGCTGCCACTGCCACCACCAGTCTCAGCTGAACATACACTGTATTCCCTACATCTCTCTACCTTTGTCAGGGACTCAGGGCCTTATTAGTTTATGAAGAGTCTTAGTGCTGCTCCCAGAAAAAAACTCAAAGGATGGATAGGCCAGAAGACTCCTGACTTCTCTCCCACAGTGCCTCCCTATTCTGTCACACTCTGCAGGCAGGAAGAGGGGAAAGTGAGGGCTGGCTGACTCAGCCTGCAAGTGCTTAGAGATCTGGAGCTGAAAGGCCCCAGCACCATTCAACTAATGATTATTATTAACTCTGAACAGGCCTTGGCACAGCAGCCAGCTGGCTCAGGGAGGATGCCTGGATCTCCCACAGTGAGGTCTGAAAAACAAGACCCACACCAGCCATGCATGGGGACAATAAGAAAGAAGGGACAGGCCATTGTCAGAGAGTAGGGAAGGGTGATCTGCCTTGTGAGCAGTGGGGAGAGGAGGTACAGGCTGGCAAGTGATAACAGCCTATCTCAAATGGAGCTGACAGCCAAGGAGGGGAGGCTGGGTGACTTCCTCAGACACAGTGCTCCTGCCATTCAACACTACTCCCAGCCCTGATAGGGCTCAAAGGAAGGGTTAGTTACAGGAAAGAACTTGTGAGGGGTATCCAAACCCAAAATAGCAATCCCAGTACCATTTGGATTTAGATACAAAACCATCTATGTTTCTAATGTCCTCAAGGTTGAGTCTGAATATAATCAAACTTGGAACACAATCAAATATGGAATCAGGACTTAGGGAGCCTGATATGGAAAGCTGTGCAAATGACAGGCTTTTTTTAAAATCTGAGCACGCTGGCTTCTTTATTTTTAAAAGCAGCTTTCCCTTGTCAGGGAACAAGGGCAAAAGGGCAGCCATTTTGCTTCTTCCTTGAGGCCTCTGCCTGGCTGCTGAGGAGCCCAGCAAGTACCCAGACATTAGGAGATACAGAGAAGTGGGGGAGGGGGAACAGGGAGGAGGGAGTACACAGCCAGGAGGCATATGCTGCCAGCAGCCACTGAGATCCCAGCTGGAAGAAGAGTGCCCTGGCACCGAGGTCTAATGGTTGTCCAGCTGCTGCCCCAGGATGTGAGGGCAGGTGGTGATGGAGGGAGAAATGGAAAGATGGGAGGAGGGAAGTTCCCCCACGATCTGGCCTACCAGAAAGAAAGGCTCCTGCTGGTGACCTACTCCCTATAACGCAGTCAGACTGGGCTAAGCAGACCACCTAAGCCCTACATTTTGCCCTGTCTGTGCCCCTGCCCTCCAGGCCCACTGGTCAGAGAGGCGACAGCTGGGTTCCTTCCTCCTGCAGAATATAAATGACTCCCCTTCCTCCCAGGGCTGGGAATAGACATCAGATGGCACAGCCCACGCAAACTGCCGGCTGTCAGCACGCCTGCCCGCCCACCAGCCTCCGCACCACCTGGGAGGAGGCAACACCTCAGGCGGGCTCAGGCTTTCCGGCATTGCCTGCTGCTCTCAGAGCAGACTGATGAACCCAGTCAGACCCCCTCACCCTATGTAGACCCCCAGCACTGGCCATGATTAGGGGAAAAATGGAATCCTTGGATTAAAGCGACCTTAGGCGAGAATCTCCTCCATGCAACCCAGTAACCATTGCCTCTAACTTCATGCCGTGTTGGGCAGTGTGAGGGAGGGAGAGGACAGTCACCCTCTGCACATCCTTTAGATGCTCAGCACCTAGAGAGTTCCTGGGAGATGCCATGTGAGGTCCGCTGAGAATACTTAAGCCCTCCCAGTCCCCATTCCTATGCTATTGAATCACACCAACCTGCTTGCTCAGTCACATGGAGAGGAGGCCCTAAAGCTTCAGAAGGCCTGGGACGTTTAAGATACCGACATCAAAGAAAACCTCTCCCTGATCACAGGAAATGGAGCTCCCAGGCCTCTCAGTTTCCAGTGGGTTGTATCTATAGAAAGCCAGTTGTCTCTAGTCCTTGCGCGATCTATGGAAGTCTCATTGCCCTGCATGAGCTAGACCACAGCTAACTAGTCTGGCATCCAGCCCTTACCACTGAAGGCAGTCTGGGAAACTACTTTCAGTTGGAACAAGGAGGGTTTTCTGCAGGGAAGAGAGTCCAGCCCTCATTTGCCAGCTGGCCAAACCCAGCCTCCTCCTGGGTCAAAGAGCTGACAGGAGATGACAACTAAGGAAAGATTAGATGATGAGGTGAGAAAGAGAACCAAGGAGACTTTTGTTCTCCTTGGATCAGAAGGGCCCTGCCCACTTCCTTGGCCCTTATTTTGTTCTAAAAGCATCAGAATAGCTCCATGAAGCTATGTGCTAAGGCAAGACCCTGAGCCCTAAGAAGAGCAAAACATGAGATGCCCAAGACTACTTTGCCCTGAGAATGGATGTCAAGGGATGGAGCACATCCAGGTTTTATAGGCCAGATCCTAAGGTGGGCTAAAGGAAGTTCTTAGCTGAGCTAAGGAGCCTATAAGAAGCTAAGAGCTTGATAAGCCAGTGCCCTTCACTCCTTCAAAAATTTTAAAGTGGCTTTAGTGCCTTTACTGTCTTGGAGTCCACAAGACATTCCCTTGGGCCCCTTTTCACCACAGTGCCTGATCTCTCATGCCCTGGCCCAGGAGCCAAATTGGCAAGATTTCTGAAGGGTTACAAGGGCAGGCCTCTTTCTCAAGGGAATAAAAAGGGAATGAATGTAAAAGCTATAGCCTGAGGCTGCTAAGTGGTCCACACAGTCCAGAGCTGCTAGGAGGTTCAGTGACATCAACTTGAAAAACGCTGATTAGAGATGGAAGGGACTTAAGAGATGGTTTAGAAATATTCACTTCACAGATGAAAAAACTGAGGTCCTGAGATAAAGAATTTACCTAAGATGGTACAGTAACCTAAGAGGACCACAGGCAAGACTCTTGGGTTTTCTCCACTATATCATACTGCTTTCTCAAAAGGGACCCGAATATCTGTGTCTTTCGTTCATAACTTGCAGGAATCCAACACTTCATCAGGCACACAGGAAATCACCATCACCACCACCACCAAATACTTCTGTTTCCCAGCAAGAGTGGAGGCTTGAGGTTCAAGCTCTCTATCACCTTCCACTTGTACCCAGTACATTTCCCTATTTTTGCCTGCTGAATCATCGCTCATTAATATATGCTTGGGTTTCTGCAGCCTCTGGCCCAGTTGTGAAGAACAAAAATCTAACCACTTCTGAAATCGGTCCCTTGAAGTTCACCAAGGAGCCACTGAAGTCCATGGCAAGTATCCCTCCTAAGTTCAGTTTGGAGGCACTCACATTTCCATTTTCTTCCTTGGCAAGTAGGATCTGGAGATCTGGTGCATGATCACCAGGGCTGGGTAGAGAGGCAGTGCCAGGCACAGGTACCAGGCTGCACCTTTGATCTGGGCCTGGAACCACACTGAGTACATTCCCAGGAGCACTGTTACTGTTGCCATCAGGTAAACTACCAGTCCACATGTCAGATGGTAGAGCTTGAGGCGAGCCACCCTTGACACCCTGGCTGCTCGGGGAAAAAGTAGGCAGAGCCCACACAGTGCCTGGGCTCCAGTGGCCAGCAGCGTCACAACTCCTACCCAGCTGTGCCAAGATACCAGATGGGGCAGCTCACTGCGGGTCTTGCTGGAGATGATGAAGCCCAGGCCAAGGGCAGCACAGAGGATGGTTAGGGTCTGTCCTGCCCAGTGGAGCCGAGTCCAGGCCTTTCGGGAACAGAAGAGGAATGGGGAGTGCTCAGGCGAGAAGATTAGGATGGCCTCAGCCATGCAGAGGCAGAACTGTGAATACAAAAGAGGGCCAGTGAGCTGCAGATGTGGCTTACAGGCTTGAGAAAAAGAGGTGACCTCACATATCCAAATGGGGGACAAAGGGTGATGCTTCCTCCAAGACCTCCTGCGTCATAGGTCAGCACTTGAATAACTGGAAACTGGCACTTGAATGTAAGTCTCATCATTCCAGCTGACATTTGCCTTCCCATTTCTGGACCAGTGGAATGACAAATGTTACTTTCTTCTGAATTTGGGGGGCAAGGACAGTGATGACTGGATAATATGCCCTCCACTTCCTCTTTTCAGGCCCCAGAGAAGTACTCTCTCCCAGGCCCTCTCATCTTCTTAACCACCTGATCTTTTACCATAACCCAGCCCTCCATGTTTCTCAGCCCCATAGGCTATGGAGAGAGATGAGGCCCTGGCTGTCTTCCCCATGTCTCTGAACCTTAGAAAGGCGGAGCCTTGTGAAAGTTGGATATTTTCCCGCGGGTGATGCTAAGCATATCCAAATCAGTTGCTGATAGAAACTCAAACTCACCGCCAAGGCCATGAATACTGGATGCCAGGAGAAAAGACCTAAGAATCAAAGAGAACAAGCTGACCGGCTGAGCAGCACTGTTCCTACCCCCGTGGACAGGTGGAGCCCAAAGAATCTGGCCACGGGAAAGGTCAGGATATCATGTCCAAACCTAGTCAGGAACTCAAGGAAAAGTGGAGTGACAAGGGGCCCCCAGCAAACACAAGCCAGCTTGGCCTGGGGTCCCCATTTGGCCCCTCTCGGCTGTCAGCTCACTGCTAAAGTAGACCTCCGCCTCCCTCCCCTCGTATCCTTCATCAGGAGCCTGGCTTACAAAGAAGTAGCAGGACTGCTCAATCACTTGCCCTCCCCCACACCCAGCACCCATAGCCCCACCCTTTCTAGACTCCCGGGCCCCGCCCACCAGGCCCTAAAGATCCGTATGCAGCCCGACCCTCCGCTGTTCGCCACCCCCCACAGCTGCCCCTCAAGCACCTCGGCTCCGCCCCCTTCCATGGTCCCGCCCCGTCTCACACACTCACTGGTTCCTGGCCGGGACAGTGCAATCAGAAAGATGGTGAAGCCCAAAGCTACCAGGTGCGCCAAGATCCCACTGCCTCTCCGCAGCCAGCGGGTCAGTCTGGGCTCCCTCGCTGGAGCGGGAACCAGACCTACCTCCAGGGGCTGCATGGCCTTTCCGGGCCAGCCCGCACAGTCCAGCTGCTGGAGGAGTCTTCCGGGTTTGCGATCGCAGAGGCGGCGGCGGCGGCTGCAGGAGAGGCTCCTCCCCGGGGATGCCGCCGGCCTTGCGACGGAGGCGCCCACAGCGCCCCCTGGGGGATGCGGGGGAGCCTCAGTGGCCGCTCCCAGGAGTCCCAGACCTGACGGCTACCAGCCCACCTTCATTTGTATCTTTGTGGCTATAAGGGCTGTATCTTAAGCAGCCTGTGGCTACTATATCGGTGGCAATTGATTTCAGTGAAACCCCAAATCATGCACTTGGTATGCTGACCCGAGTGTGAAACCAGTGTTTTTAGCCGCTTTTCCGAAGTACTGGGATTTCGCTGGCTGCTTACTCTCTCCTGCCATCTCTTCTGGCTTAAGGGAACAAAATTCCTCCTTGCCTGAACACAAGGAGAAATAAAAGGAAAGGACAAGGCTGAAAACCTAGTGCTCTGCACCTGACGAATTCAGGTTTGAGGGCGAGGAGAGGGATGCTACTCTCATCTCCCATCCGCAGTTGTCCCCAGCTGAGACGTGGAAGAACTAGGGTACTCCCTTGCTGCCTCCACAACAGCTGTTCAGCCCTGAGGAGCAAGGTGATCCTGAGGAACCAAGGCCTCCCACACCCCAGGTTTTGCAAGTGATCTCCCTTTTCCCTCCTACATACAGAAAGGTGTGGTCCAGGCCAAGGAGGCCTACCCTGTCCTTAAGGGCAAACCCACTCGCCAAGAGACTAACTAGACTTCAGCATCAATCCTGAGAACAATTACCAACTCAGCTCAAGCTTCCCCATGTAGCTGAAAACAAGAGAATGCTAGTAAGAGGTGGGAAGGGCAGGAACAGCCAGAGAAACACGGTAATTTGGAGTAGCATGGAGGTCTACGGTTGCTGGAAGACCAGAAAAGGGTTGGGAGTGACCTCGGGGCAGACTCTATATAGAGCCAGAGGTGCAGCTCCCCTCCCCCATCTCCCTTTCCAAGGGGACCAGAGTCAGGATTTTAGGAACCCTGCTCAGAGACATATACTCTTCATCATCCTACCTGAAGAGAAGACTCTGTAGTAATACAAACCCTAGACTTTGCTGGGAGTGAGTCTGAGTACCTATCATCTAAGCCTCCTGGGTGGGGTTGGGGACAATAAGGACACTCATTTTGCTACTGTTTTTCTTCCTTTTCTGTGTTTCTGTTTTTATATTTTCTTAGCAGCAACAGAACAGGGAGACAGTCTTGAGGTATTTTAAAGAGGTTTTTTTTTCTTAAAAAAAATAATATAAAGTTATAAAAAGCGGCAGCAGCCTGGGGCCCGGATCTGGAAGGGAGGAGGTGCTGGCAGCTCCATTGCAGTGGGCAGGCACTTTCTCATTAATGGGCTTTTGACTGTAAGAAGACAAGAGGCAAGAGACAGGGTCAGGATGGGGACCTAGCATTTACCTTACCCAGTGAACTATGCAGACTATAAGGGCTAAAACCTGATTTTCTTCTGCTGGCCTGGTAAGTAAAACTGAGCAAGGGGAAGATGAATGCCAGCCTAACAGGGGTAGCCTGGGTAGTGAAGTTGGAGAACACATGTGCATGCTTGTACACAAAGATGCATGCATGCATACACACACACACAGTGAGACCCTCAACAACTGTCAGACTGTACTGGACTGGCCTCTATGAGTACCAGGGGAGTTGGTATACATTAAGCCCATGTTTAAACCAGAATATCCACCCCACCCCACACCATCACATCTCCCATAAGTCCTTCCAGGGCTTCCATTAGAAAGGCAGATAAACCTAGCTTCAGGCTTTACTAGAAACCCTGGAGAACCCATCTACCACCAGAGAACCTGGAGGTGAGCACAGGAGCAAGGCTGGCACCCAGGTCTCTTCCACTGTGTACTTGCCATTCAGTGTCCTGATATAAAAGGAAGAACCAAGGAACAAGACCAGCCCACCCTCCCAGTTGCTCAGCATGTTGAGCCTCAGTTTAGGGACCCAAACTCCTTTTCCTTCAAGGGGCAGAGGAAGCCTTAGGTCCTGGAGCAACAGCCACAGCAATTCAGAAAGTAACCCTCTTTGATTAAAGTAAAAGCAAGGGCAGACAGGAAGCAGCATGCCCTGAACTCAAGGGAGAGTAGATAGGGGAAGATCCATCAGGCAAAAGCTGAAGTCACTTGATGACCTCTCTCTCAAGTACTGACCCAGGAACTCTCAATTTCCTCCTTTTCCCTTCCCTGCATAATCATCTACTTAACACCTCTCCATGTCAGGTACCCACTGTGTTCCCTACACTCAGCCTTCCTGATCCCTCTCTGCCCATGCTCTTTAGGGAGCTGGGCTGGTACCTTCAGTGTAGAGCACTTCTCCTCAAAGGCCAGGGCCGGGCCTGGCTTCTTGCGGCGCACAGAGCAGGCTGTGTCAGCAGGGGCACCAGCCTGACAGTGCTTGGCCTTCATTGGCCGGCAGTAAGTGGCCAGGTTTTTCCGCTTCTTGGCTACTTCCTCCTCAGAGAGGCAGTTGGTTGGCAGGGCCTTGGCTGGGTGTCCAGTGGCTCCCCGGTTCTCCAGCTGAGAAGCCTTGACAGATGTGTGGGGCAGATGAAGGGAACCCCGACAGTCCAGGGGCCCTGCCCGCTTCATTCTTGGACCCACTGTCCCATTAAGTCCCATGGCCAGGGATGTTTTAGTCTTGGCTGAGAGACCCCGGCAACCAGAGGGTTTGCCTTTTCCAGTGGGTTCAAGGATGCAGGTCCGTTTGAAAGTGGTAGGGCCAGGGGATAACTTCCGCTTTCGAGAAGGAGCCTCCACCTCTGCCCTGTCCTTGCCTTTGGATGACTTGCTGGCCTTGGAAGGTGGCAGCTTGCTGAAGGACGGGGATGGCGTGTTGGCAGGCAGTGGTGAGGTGATAGCCTGGCTGCCGCCCATGCACTCTGACTGACTGCAGGCGGCTGCCACGCTGGGGGAGCCTGCAGGGTAGCTGGGAACAAGGCTGTCCTTGTTAGGGGGCATGGAGGCTGGGCAGGCAGGTCTGGAGGGTGGGCCTGGAAGTCGGGGGCAGCTGCCCATAGAGGATGGGCTCAGGGGAGCAGATAAGGCGGAGCTGACAAGGTGGGGTGGAGGTTCAGCAGCGGGTGGGATCTTCCTGCAGCAAAAAGAGAGTGCCACTTTGACTACCCAGCAAACAAGAGGATCTCCCCAACGCATACCAGTCTCTGCCCTGCCTAGAAATGGCCAAGAGTGCCCCAGAGTTGCTGCCATCTGCTGGGAGACAGTGGAAGTAAGGGTTAGGCAGAAGGCACAGGGAGAGGAAAGAATGAACTCATACTGTATATATGAACTAGTATATAGACGACTCATTTTGTGTCTCAGTTTGGGCATCCTCTATCCCAAGTTAACTCAAATGTACTGGAAGTGATAAGAGAAAGAGTCCAGGCTCACCCCCAGACCCTCTATTCATGGCCTGCTCCAGGCTGCTAAGTGCCCTCCTCCACTCATGCCACTCCTTATCTGGGGTCTTCTTGGCAAACAGCCAGAGGACACCAATGGGCATGTGTGAAGGACAAGGGCTTCTGAAGCCCATGCATGCTCAGCTTAGGAAGGAAAGTTCTGGGCCCAAGAGACTCACTTCCACATGTGTGAACTGAGGTGCCTTTCCAGCATGGAGGTGAGTGCAGAGCAGAACCGGTCCAGCCGGCGGCTAAACACATAGCATCCTGGGCTCACCAGGCGGCTCCCAAAGGTGCAGAACTGGAGGCAGAAGGAAGGGATATGATTGGCAGTGCCTGAGGTACAGGGAGGCATCTGTAGAAAGATCTGATCTCCTCTCCATACTGTGGGTCAGGAGGGCTGGGCCATCCCCCACCCCAGGCCCCTGCCCCAGGTCCTTACCGCCTGTGGCCGCGGGGGCCTGGTTGCATAATGGCAGTCAGGGGGGAGGTGGAGGTCGTCAGCTGTCCCCTCCTCCTCGCTCTCCTCGCTGGAGGCCTGGGCCCCACCCCGGGGCAGAGGGAAGGGGAACAGGCCTGGGTCCCCATCACCACCACAGGGGCCTTCATCATCCAACTCACTCTCAGAGGAGGCCCGGGACCTGGAAGGGCCAAAGGGGAGGTGAGGATGATGGGACTGGGGTGGGGTCAGGGTGGGGTCGTCCCTGAACCACCAAGCTCAAAAGGCCGGGGCCGACACCCTGCTGGGCAATAAGAGGGAAAGGAAAGAGGAAAGGATAGGAGGGCACAACACAGCTCACAGAGTAAGAGACAGAGCCCGGGCCACAGCTCCCAAGGGATTCTCTCCCCAGCCCCTTCACTTCCCAAGCCCTGCCTCCTCAGGGGGAAAATCTGCTCCAGATTCGCCTCCTCCAGAAAATCTTCCGAGCTTAACTGCACCCAGCTCTGGTCAGCCCAGTCCTCTCTCAACCCCCTTCTTGCATCACATATTCCTGTGAGCCTGTCTGGGAGCTGAGCCTGTTTCGTGTCTGCCCCTCGTGTTACAGGCAGAGATGCGTGTGTGTCTCCTTCAGCAAGGCAGGCTCTCCCGGGGGTCCAGCGCAGCCTCTGCACACGAAGGGGCCAGTGAATAAATACACAGTAGGACTGCCTCACCCAGGACCCTGACCCTTTCAGCTCCCCAGTGATAAGTTTTAGCTTTTTGGAAGTAGCCAGGAAAACGTTCAAATCTTGGGTGTTGGATATGGCATACCACAGAGAGGCTGGCGTACTGGGGTATGTGTGGGCAGGAACAAGGGAGTCACCTGCTTCCACACCATTGCAGGGACCCAGATATCCCCCCACACTCAAGGTTTACCTTCTAGAACACTCCCTGGGCCTGTCTTCAAGGGGTCCCTGTTGCCTTAGGACCCGAGTATCCCAGTTAAAGTGGGGGTTGGATCTTGTACATACCTGGGCAGTGCACAGTATGGATAGGTCTGCTTGGCTCGAGCAGAAAAGGTGCTGCTGGGAATGGCTGTTGCTGCCACAGCCTGGACTGAAGAGGGAAGCTCCTGGGAGGGGCGCTCCAGAGCTGGCTCCTTGCGTCCTGGGCTCTTCTCCTTGGGAGACTCCCCTTTGCGGGAGTTGGCCTTCAGCTCTGCCACTAGCACATCAAAGTCCTTGGCCCGGCCCTGGACCTCCCTGCGCTGGTGCACCGAGTGAATCTAGAATACAGGAGGCGGGGAGGGTGAGCTGAGCATGGGTGAGGGGCAGTGGCGTGCTCTGGCCTATGCAAGTGGGACAGGGTGTCCGTGTGTCTGTAGGCATGCCTTGTCTCACTCCTCTGTGAAATAAACCCTTCTTTGGGGTAGGGGAACCTAGAAGCCACTCCTAGCCTGCTGCTCTTACCTTGTGCCCACCGGGACTTAGCTTCCTCTCCCCATCCCTGGAGTAGCCCCATCCCTTGAGCTGGATCTTTAGTAACCTGTAAATTCCTCTCCTCACCTAGGCCCCATGTCTGTGCTGCCCTCCCTCACCATGCACTGGCAATGGGGGTTACCTTGCAGGTCAGCAGGCGAGTGCAGATCTTTTGGGTCTCTGGATTTATGACCCCACATTGCCTGTTGAGGTCGCACTCTTTCCCTATAGGGAAAGCAGTCCCAATGAACCCCGAGGGCATTTCTCAAAGGCCCAGGAAGGATTGGGACAAGGCAGAAGAGCCTCCAGCCTTTAGGTGTGGGGCTCCCCTTTACAGACAAACTCCTCTGGGCACCCACATCTCTGCTGAGTGTAGGACCAGCCCCAGCCCCAGCCCCAGCCCCAACCCAGGCATTCCTTTTGGAGACTTCAAGCCCCAAGCAGGGCATCAATATCAAGAAGCAAAAGCAGCCACAGGCATTTGGGATGCCAGGATAACCACGAGATATGAGGAAGGAGGTAACAGTCAACTCCCCAAATTGAGGAAGGGTAACTTCGCCTGTGATCTCAGCCTTTATCAGGACACTGGACAAGAGAACCTTCCCTGGGAACAAGCATGTCAAGAGGGAAGCGGGCTCCTGCTGATGGCCAGGCCTAGTGCTCTCTGACTTCCAACTCATCTGGCCCAAGTACATAGAAGCCCAAAGGAGTTCCCACTCTATCTTCCTGAATCCCAAGACTGTGACTACTCACGAGCCATCTTCCGGTGGGTTTTGGGGGGCAGCCTGGCCCCACTAGGCTCCTTCTCCAGGGGGCTGCCTTCGGCCCGGTGACTGGAGCCCTCACTGGCAATTATCTCGATGCTTTCTCTGCCAGGAGGCTCCTTAGAGGGGGGAGCCATGGGCACTTTTCCAGGAGAGTCCTTGGGGAGGCCGCCTGGCTGACTGAGGAAAGCAGAGGGTGGGGCCACCCTGATTCCATGTCCATCGGGCTTCGGGAGACTGGACATCTTCTCAAGATTCACCACAGGCACGAAAAGGCTACACGTGGAGAGACGGCATGGGGTGGGAGGTGGGAGGCTGGGCCTGGGGCCTGGATGCTAGCCCAGAGCCATTCTCTCAGGCCCTGGAACTTGGGTGGGCTCCAGGAGGGGTGTGGAACATGGGAAAAGGGGAGTCCATATTCCCTGGAATACAAGGGGCTACAGATGAGACTGGCTGCTTCCTGTTGTGAGCAGCACCCCTCAGCCCAGGGCTCCTACACTAGTGGCAAGCCCTCCCTGGGTCAGGGTCAGGGCCGGTCTCGGGAAGTCTCCAGCCTCTTCTTACCAGAGATTGTCCTTCTGGGTCTTCTCAGGAGGCTGGTGGCCACGGCTCCGGGACCCCTGGCCCTTCTCCCTGGAGGAGGTTTTGGTGGAACCTGGGGTCCTACAAGCTGGGCCCTGCCCATTCACTACATGGCATTTCTGAGAGCTGGCAGGGGCTGGAGGTGGGGGTGGGGCCCGGGCATAAAGCTTGCTGAGGGGCCCATGTCTTCTTTCTGTCACCAGGAGGTGGAGAGAGCAATCGAGGTGAGTGCTATCAACTGCCTCCTTCCCCAACCTCCTAACCTGCCCGCAGACTCACATCACAGAATGAGTTTCCATAGCACAGACTGTGTATATGCTTCCTTCTCTTTTGAACTTGAGCCTTCAAGGCCCAGAATTCTAGACCAGCTTCCTGAACCCCTTAACTTCGCTGGATGCAAGAAGTTTGTTCACACAATACCCGCCCCCACACCCCACAATGCTCTGAGGCTGCTCCCAGAACCTTCCTATCCCCGGTACCACCCTGCATTGCCCCACATAACCTCCCAACTAACCGTCCTCAGAGTTACATGTTCTATTGTTCCCTGTCCCCTTATCTCCTCCCCAGGGCTCCCCTCACCGCAATGCTTCTGGAAAGCTTGAGGCTTCACCACCTGGCTGCAGTGGTTACACACAACCAAATAGAAGTCATCATGGGCTGGGCAGTGCCCGAAGATGGACATGTCTGCAATGACAGAAGCCCTTATCACTGGGGTCAGGGACCTCGGGTTTCCCTCTAAGGTCAGAGAGCTCTCTCACTCCACCAGAAGGTACTTCACCTCCCAACTGACAAAACGTGCATTCTGCTGGATGATCTCAGCTTCCAGAGTTCAACCTAACCAGTACTGAAGTACACGGGGCTTTCACGTGAGTGGACACTAATCACCTATGATTAGAATCTCCAACAACAGGTCATAGCAGCCAGTGCAACCAGCTGACTCAGGCCTATCAAAATGAGGATTCCCCAGACCTGCTCCTTCAGGCAGCCACGGAATACAGTGGCGGAGGGGAAGGTGGTTGTGTCTGCCCTGAGTCCCAGCCCTAATGTGTATTGACTCCCACCTTCTTTAATGAGGGTCATGGCATCCAACTTCTTCATGTTTTTGCTACTCTCCTCTTGCTCAGCCCCTAGAGGAGAAATTCAGATCAGAACATCCACTCCTTTCCTACAGCCTCAAGTCCTACCTAAGCAGGGTCTGCAGCCAGGCACTGTGAAGCCCACATTCCCTCACAAACTCCTGATGCTCAGAACCACTAGAACAACCTTTCAGTGGGTCATTCTCAAGTTCCCATTCTTCCTTCAACTAATGCCTCTAAAACAGCTGGCCCATTAAGAAGAATCGTGCTGCCTTTCTGACAGAGCCTTCACTCCAAGGGGCAGTTCAGGGTCCACTGCTGACTAGTTAGATGGTTGTGATTAAATATCTCTTTGCTGGGGTTTGCTTCCCTGTTTAAAGGGGAAACAGTCGTTAAATTTTTCTATAGATCCCTGAGTCCCTTCTTGAGATTTCTCACACAGATCCTTTCTGGTACTCTGTGGCATCCCAGATACTCTCCAAGGTGCCCATTGCTATAAACTCAATTTTGCTCCACCTGAGTTACCAAAGCATGGTCAAAGTTATACCCAGCTTCTCGGGTCTTGCATTGATAGGACGGTTATAGAAGACAGAGACTGTCTTTAGGCCCTCTGGCATCTTCAAAGTCTCCTTAGTCAGCTATGTGAGCCCCTACCCTTTCTAGGAGGCTGTTCTTGTTCCTTGGGCATGGGTTGCCCTTGTACCTCAGTTTCCCGGTTAATGACAAAAACATCTTAGCTGTGCAAAGCAGCTTTTTCCCCATCCCCCCACCTTATTCCTTCCCCCTCCCTCCACTTCACCCCCTCCCTGGCCCTTGGAAAAAAAATCAATTCTGAGTCACCAAACCCGTCTGACTCCATTTCCGGTTCTCAATGCACCCAGACCCTGACAATGGCCCCATCCATGCCCACCAGCATGGGGTAGTCCCAGGGTGGCTCATGCTCCTACTTAGGTCTGCTTTCAGATGCCCCCTAACAGATATACCCCTTTCAGGAGGAGAAGACTGTTGACAACCTTATATAATGTCCAGATATGAGGGGTAGTGGGTTAGGCATGCAAGAGGCAAGAGGCAGCTCCCTCTCTTTTAAGTCCATTAAAGGCAAGTGTGGGAAATGATGGACAGAACGGAGCTGGCAGCCAGGAGTCTCACAGGAGAACAAGTGTCATTTGAGAATGCTCCATGAGGTCTCCTACTCCATCTCTTCTCACTTGCAAACTTCTTTAGGGGCGTGATGCCTGGTGTCACCCCCAAAGGCCACAAGGCCAGATGCTCCCTGGGGCCCAGGAGAAAAAGATCAGAAGAAGGGCCTGTAGGCCTGTTCACCAAAGACACTCAGGGGCCTACGGAAGGTGGGGGTCAGGGGAAAGAGCCAAGAGACAGGGCAAGAGGCCCGGGAAAGGATGGAGGGTTGGAGATGGACTGAAAGGGGGTGGGGGTAGTGGGAGGATGGATAGGTGGATAGATGGACGAACTAATGCAGAGGGGGCTGGGGTCCAGGAGCACTGCAGCCGGCTGGCAAACGCCAAAAAGGTGCAGGAGGTGTAGGGCAAAAGCCGAAGGAACAAGGGAGTGGGGAGGGGGGCACAGAAGTGGGGTGCGTGGGAAACACGTGGAGAGGACTGCTGCGGATGGGAAGAGCCAAAGCAGGTGCAGGATATCCTGGGCGGAAGCTGGAAGCTAGCAGACATGGAGAAAGATAAAGGCAAATAAATATGGGGGCAAGTAATGGGCACCAGCAGAGACAGAGGTGGGCTTGGTGGGCTGCTAGCGGTGAGCCGGCGCTAGGACCCGGAGGCGCGAAGGTGGCGGAGCAGGCGGGCACTAGGACCCGGTGGGTCCTTTGTTTGGGGGGCCGGGGAGCCGGACGGCAGCTCCAGTCGGCGGCTCCCCTCAGCAGGCGGGGGCCCGGAAGGGGGGAGGGGACATAGTGATGGGGTCCCCGGACTCTTGGGTGGCTGTACTCACCGTCGGCCGTGGGCAGATCGGCCCGCTCCACCCACGAGCTCCAGCTCTGTCCCGCGAAGTCATCGAGACTCGGCACCCGCCGCTCCAGAGCGGCCATTGCTGCCGCCGCGCGTTCACGCACCGCCATCACCGCCGCGGACGCGCGCCCGCCCTGGCGCTGCCGCCGTGCGGCCCCCTCCCCCACTGCCCCACCGCAGGCACGCCTCTCTCCCCCTACCTTTCCAGCTCCCTCTGTGCGCAAGCGCAATTCTGGTCTCTTCCCCCTCCCGCCCGCATGGCCTTCTGGGAAATGTAGTTTGGGGGGGTTGCTATTGCCTACAGTGCTTTTGGCGAGAGCCCTTCCGAAATGCACAATTGCAGGAGGAAAAGGGGAGACCAATGCCCCAGGATGTCTCCTCCTAACCTTTGTGCACACATTCTTTGTGACATCAGACTCTCTCAAGCTCACTGAACACGCCCAACAGCCCCAAACCTCGCTCTGCCCAAGACGCCCCTTTAAGCAATGAGCCAGCCAGCTGGCTGGCGCCCCTTCCAGGGCTGGCGGCCACGAAGCGAATCCGTGCCCCTGTAGATCGAATAGGGTAGGTGCAGGGAGGTGGGCGCAGTGAATCAGAAGGGCAAGGGGAGGGAGTCTGTAGGATGTGCTGAAGGACACAGGGGTTGGAGTGGGGGAGGGCCCCGGCTTCCGTGTCGTTCCTCCTCTGGAAAACCCACACTGCCCTGATGCAGAACAGAAGGTTGGCATGCCGCTGTCTGGGTTTGGTAGGACCTAGTTGAGCTGACCAAGATCACCTGTCAGGATGACTGAAGGCTATCTCTAAGCTAGAGCCAGCTCCGGAACTAGGGTGGCCCCGAGGCTGCTGGTGTTTGCAGCGTCTCTGCTGATCCGCCTCTCTTCTGAGAACTGCGATCGATACCCTGCACTGCCCCTTCCCAAACCGTGGCTGGACCCCGATTCCATCCATCATTTTGGCTTCTTTTTCTAATGAATATTTTCTCTGCTGGAAGGGCTGCTACTGAAGCCTTGGCACAGGAAGATTTCTCATCAGATCTGTCATTTTTCCTTGCTAAGGCCTGGAAAGTACCTTAATCATCCTCCTCTTTCTTCTCTGTAGCCGGTAACATTTCTTCCCACCTTCACACAAGAGACAAAAGTCTGCCTCTGCCTTATCCCCATCTCATTGGAAAAGAAATATGAATCCTCTTTTCTTCTCTTCGCTCCATATTGCAACCCATTAGCTAAGAGGAAACCAAATAAGTCAAGGTCTATAATTTGGAGACCTCAGAGTTTCTTCATTTCATCCAGAGAAGATTTAAATATTTAAAGGATAATATCTGAGGACAAGGTATCTTAATCTGAGACCCATGGAAGATCCCTAAGGGATCCAGGAACCTGGTGAAATTGAATGTAGAATTGTGTCCAAGTGCATTTTTCTAAGGAATGTAAATATACAATGTGACTGTCTTTCTGAAGCGAGATGGAAGTGCAAATTTGTTCAGCAATAGCCCTATAGTAAAGAATAGAGCGCATGGCTCTCCACTCGTGACAGGAAGCTTGTTTGCTATCATAGATGGTAGCAGAGCAAATGGAAATAGCATTGTGGAAGCCACTGTCCTTCTCCTATTGAATTTGCTCCAAATTTACTAATGAGTCTCAGTTACTTTGGACTAATTGGGTGCCACCAAAAGAGGCGATGTCACCAGACTGGGGCCTGATAGAAGCAACTGCTCAGCCAGCAGACTCTATTACTTGGGGTGCAGAAAGGAAAAGAGTGGAATGATACCTTGGTAGAAATGTTGATATTTGTCCAAGAACTTAAAGCAAGGGAGAGGAAGAGGGGGAAAAATCCCCAGAAGGGTTCCAGTCTTGGCTCCCTGGCAAATGCTTGCAGCACTGTTTATTCAAATGTGTAATAACAAGCACCAGAAAACAACATGCAACATTCTCCCCCCACCCCTGATCTGCAGTCCCCAAAATAGGAGACCTGTGACCATGACGTTCAAGGGAACTCATGTGGAGGAAAGATCCTAGGTGGGCACCTGGCAGGGTCAGAATCTTCCAGGGCAAAGGGCAAGTGCCCTGCCTGTTGGCCTCCTGAAGCAGCTGAAGAAATCAGACACCTTCTTGTACTTCAGGACCCACTAGGCAAAGCAGTGAAAGTCTTGGTTGGAGGGGACATGCGTTCTATGAGGACAGCTCTGCCCTTGGCAATTTGGCCAGACCAGCCCTCGGCACTTTGGCCAGACCAGCCCTCTGGAAGTAATGAGTTAAACTGACCTTTCCTCTTAGGGTGGCCATGCAGAGGCCATAGCCTAAATCAAGGTTCTCTGGCTGAGAATAAGCCAGCCTTCTTAGGAAGAGGAAGGACCTTCTCTGCCCCCAAAGAATTCTGGGCTAGGAGTTCTTGGCAGGTGTGAATTCCCTCCCCCCTTTCCCTAGCTGAAGGGCCAGCTGCTAACTTCAGCCCCCAAATGAGAACACTTTATCCATCACATTTCAAATAAATTATAAATACAGACACAGAATCCAAACGAAGTTCCAGTAGAAGCTGCTCACAGACCCCCACAGGGGTTGGCTTGAAGAAAAATGAAAGGAAAGTCACCCCTTTGTTCTCTGTGTCTCTGGAGCTGTAGACAAAACTGTCCCACCTTGTTCTTGAGTAACCATGGGAACAGCTCAGGACAGAGAGTTTCAGACTTAGGAACATTCTCACTCCCATCTCTTCTTTTCCCTCCTCAAATCCTTTCCCCCAAAAAGAAAACAAAAAACCTGATTCTTTTACTGAAGAACTCTGGAGAATTTGGGGATGGAAATCTCACACTCCCCCTGTCAAATGGGGAGAAATTCTGACCCAAAGAAATGACTGGCGCTAAGTCAAAGGTCCTAAACCCCAAGTATGCAGGTAATGCACATTTTACTATGGATGCCATTGAGGGAAGTGAGGAGGTTCAAGGGGATTGACTCATTCCTGAGGAGAGATTGGCACAGGACACATTCACCTTTGGGATGATAAGTCAGCCAGTTGGCACTGGATTGGAAAATGGTTGGATTCTTCCCTCTTCATCCTGAGCAGCCTTGGGCCAAGGGCAGATTGAGGTGTTTTGAGCTAGGTAGTAGGCAGGTAGTCCTTACCCAGTTAGGACTCTCAGGCCTTGGGGTCCAGAGAGGGACTGAAGGAGGTGTTAGGAAGAGGAAATACACCAAGACAAATATGGAGCTGGGTCCCGAAGTGAAGAAGCACCAATAGCATTGGCCTGCCTTGGACTGGGGAGGGGATAGAGCCTGGCAGAAAGGAAGAAGAAGAGGAGGACTGGGAGGGCCAAGGGGAGGGTACATTATTTTATAAAGCTGAGAAGGAGAAGTATGAAATGAGAACTAGAGAAGGAGCAGGGGCAGGGGGCATGGGTATGAACAGAGAGTAAGGGTGAAATGGGCTCATCCATCCATGTTTTGGGGCTCTGGGTAACTCAGCCTCATGATGGTCCTTTGGGCCCTTCCAAAGCCCCTATCTGGCCCCACAGGAATAAAAGGAAGGCCTGGACAGACTTCAAAGAGGATCTTGAATGCCTCAGACCCTATAGGCTGGGGAAGGGAGATGGGCTGAGTGGTGGGGGAGGCAGGGGCTGAAATGGATATGCTCCTAGCCTCTGTCTTGTGTCCCAAGTGTGAGATGAGATCAAACCCAAGAAGGACAGGGAGAAAGGTAAGGAGTTTCTATGGTAAATAGAGTTTAGAGTGGTGGTGGATAGTGCCCCAGTGGCGGGGTGGGGTGGGGGAGGGGCTCAGGGAATAGAAAAAAAAAAAGCTTCTGCCAGTAAGTTTCTTGGCTTTCTTCCTTAAAGTTGCAACTCACTTGCAGTTTATCTGCTCCAGTTGAGTCCAGGCCTCATGTGGACCCTCTAAGGGCCCTTTTTTTCTAGAATATTGGGCCTCCCTGGTTCATACATGGTAGGCTCTCTGGGCAAACAGAGGCTAAAGAAGTAAGGGAGCACTGGGCTCTGGGACATGGACCATGAGGAACCCCCCCCCCAACTACACAAAGGCTGTTAGGGACCAATCCCAGGGCTCTGGTCTGCTGCCCCCAGCTCTCACCTGCAGCAGAGGTTGGTACTTAGAGGCTGGGAGGGTACAAGTAGGACCCTAAGTAAGATTCCTGGGTCCTGGCAGTAGGCAAGAAGCACTAAGCTCCTGCCATCAGGGACTCCAGCAAAAGGAGAGATAGGAAGCCACTGGGAGGGTTGCTCAGGTTTCTGACAGTTGATGTGTGCCTATCCAACATCTCAAAGTCCAAAGCCCAGACTGATAGGAAAGGGAGATGGCAGAAGAGGAAGAGGGAGGTCCTGGAAGCCGGAGGTGTTGAAGAGGTGCTGTCCAGTTCGGGAGTAGCCAGATAGGGCTGCTTACTGCTTCTCCACAGCTCCCTGCTCAGCTGCGCTCTCCTGGCTGGAGCCCTGGCCCTGGTCCTGGCCCTGTCCATGCCACGGGGTCTCCTTGAACACAAACCAACAGTTCCCGGCCCACAGGAAGAAGTTGATAAAGCCGAAGAGCTGCAAAGGACATCAGGGGAGTTTGTGAGAATGTTAAGGGAACGACAACATGAAAACAGTAAGGGTGGAGTTTCTATGTTGGAGAAAGAGGTACAGAAGGCTAGGAAGACCAAAGGACAGAGATCTGGATATCAAGGCAGCGTTCAAAGTCATCATACACTTACGGATTCCCTAGTGAAAAAGTCTAACTCTAACCCTAACCTGAGCCCAAGATCTATGTGGTCATTAGCTGAATCTGCCCCCTCAAATGGTCATCACACAAAACATAGCAAGGCACCAAGAGTCAGGGCCAGCTGGGCTTCCCACAGCACAAGTGTGGCCGGCTCGGAGCATCTTCTGTGGGGAGCATTTGTCTGGGAGCTGTCCAAGGTGCTCCTTCCCCCAAACCAGGGTCTCAGCCAGAGCTATATTCAAATATTTATTTAAAATATTTCAAAAACAGCCAGGGATTTAGCTCAGTGGTTCTGGCACCTGCCTCACAAGTACAAGGTCCTGAGTTCAATCCCCAGTATCAAAAAACAAAACAAAACAAAACAAAACAAAAACCCAAAAATATTTCAAAAACCTCAGAGCAGGTGTGGGGGGGTGTATTGATGTTTTCAATTAACTTTGAAATGCATTGAAAATGGATTGATGAATGAAAAGAGATGCATAGCTATATAATAAAGCAAGTCTCTAGTCTAGGAGATGAGTTGTGCATGTTGACTGTAAAGTCCTTACAACTTTGCTGTATATATGAACATTTTTATAATAAAATGTTGAAGGGAGAAACCTATGAACAGAGTTTCAGAATGTTCCAGAAGGCTCCCTGGTGTGCCAGCCTTTAAACATTTCAAGTGTGGAGATCCAAGCCATTTTCAGATCTGAGGTGACCGAAATGACAGGGAGCATCTGAGAAGCTCAAAGTCCCAGGTATTTGCCTGATGATATGAACACATTTCAAAGTTCTAAGAACTGGAATGGCCAAACACATGCCTACCATGGAGCCACTGCCACTGCCCCAAAGGCCTTTTCCACTGTGGAGGGCTGAGCAACAACAAGCTCTTCTCACTCACTCTGGGTGCTCCCAGCTCTGAGCCCCATCACAGCCCTAAACTCTGCCTTCACATGTTCATGTGTGCACACATGCATAATGTGAGACAGGTGAGAAGGGTAGTCACAAGGGCATATGTACAGGGGGAGAAAGGATGAGGAATGGGGGTAGCTCTCAGGTTCCCCTCATTCCAAATGTTTTACCAGGTCAACACTTGGTACAGGAAGGCACTAGCTAGCCCTAGGTACAGGGGATACCAACTCTGGGGACACCTCTCTTTCTCTTAGGCCTAGGACAGGACTGAACAGCTGCGATAGCGCTGCCTCCCCCAGACCCCTTCAGTGGCCACAGGTCTCACCACAGAGATGTTGGCCAGCCCCATGGAGGGTGTGGCTCCAGGACTGCACACTGCTTCCTCTCCATGGCACACAGACATGGCTGCAGTAAGGCTGGATGGCCGTGTGGCCCCTTTGACATCAGTCAGGCCCTTGCCCCAGGCAGCTGCAGCTACCAGCCAGAAGAAGGTGAAGGAGACAGTCACACAGAAGTCCTGGGAGGAGCAGAGGGATAGAAAATACACTCAGAAAGCCCCCATGGTTCCCTCTTCTTTCCCTTTCACCATGATACACTAGAATCCTGGGATTCCCGAGACAGCTGCCTCTTCCCATCCCACCCAACACACAGAGCCTCAGAGAGTCCAGATGGTCCTGAGGAATCTGTTCACTGCCACAAAGGAATCCTGCCCCTCAGGCTGCCTACTCATGCCCTCAGAGCTAAGGTCAAGCAATAAGGTCTGAAAGCATCTGCTGGTCAGTCTCAGCCCCAAGTGACCTAAACATCCCACTCTTTCCTCCCAGCTTTTCCTTTGATCACAATTGCTTAGCTATAAATAGTAGCAGAAGCCAGACTCAGGAGACAAAAGAGTTTTCTAACATATACTTTCCACTTTGCATGCTTGCAATAAGGAGAAAGTAAAGAGAATAGAACTAGTAATAGCTAACACTTGTACACCATGCAAGTATGTACGTGTACAAGTATACACACATTCTCATTTTCTCTCTCAAAAAACACTATGAAGCAGGCATTATTTCATCCCCATATTATGGCTGAATAAACTGAGGTTTAGAGGCTGAGTAATTGGTTGAAAGTCACACAGCTAGGAAGGGACAGTGGTGGGGATTTGAGCCCAGGCAGCCTAACTCCAGAGCCTGCTTCTTTATGTTGTTTTTGTGCCTTCTGTGAGCAGAAGCCAGCAATGGGAGACTGGTCAAGGCAGAGGTTCCATATATAGGTATCAGGGACCCAGGGAAGCCTTCGTGTTTGTCCTCCCCTCCAGCTCTGACTTCCACCCCTAACAAACATCTCTTCAGTTCCTCTACCCCCTCCCTGTGGCCCATGCTCACTCACCACCAGTGGGAAGCGCTTGTTCTCTGTGTAGAGTTTGTGGAAACGCAGGTAGAGGACTAGGGCAGCCATAGTATAGAAGAAGGAAAAGATGCCAAGGGTCACAAAGAACTCAGCAGGGGCAGAGAAGTCCCCCATGAGGTGCATGGTCTTGGAGGTGGAGTCATCATCACAGAGAGGCATCTCATACTGGACCCGGTGTAACCTGCAGGGGGCAGGGAGTCCATTCTGAGCTCAGGCAAGCCTCTCTTCGTGCCACAGGAGTGGTCCTGTGCTAATCCTCTCCCTGGGACACTTACAGAGCCAAGACAGGGGTCATGTAGGGAGGAACACTTCTGCAGGGAACCTTGCAGTTAAGATAGGAGCTTTATCAAGAGTCCATCAAGCACCACCTCCCCTCAGCTGCCACCCTATACTCATCCACCTGCCCAGACATGGTGACTATGTATTTCCAAGTATCTCCAGGGTCCTTTAGGTCACAACCACAGTGTGTATAGTTTATCTAATTCTAGTAAACAAACCACTAGGCAAATCATGTCTTTCCCTGGGAAAACATAGACTCAACCAGTGATCAAGTTAAGGTTGGAAGCACCCGTTTTTCAGGCCTTATTTACGATTTCCAATTTGACTATATTGGACAAAATAAAGAGACCATTACAGATAAGAAACATTTAACCTAGTGTGGATGCTGATACCAAAAGGGCAAACCCTATCTCCATTCTCCTTTAAACACAGCCTTCCCCATCCTTGGCTTTGAAATATTCAGGAGAGAATATTCTCTTCTACTTCCTGGTCAAGATGTGCCTCTTGGTAGTCTGGTGATACCAGACAGGCATCCCACATCAACTCTTTAGGATCTAAATACTAACCAGCTATCTTACTTCAGGATACAGAGGATGCTGCAGAGGGTCAGAGAGAGCTCCCCAACTTGTTCATCCTCCTATAAACCTTCATCCCCAGTGTGTGAGTTCTCTCAGTGTGAGCTGCTATGATGTGCCATTGGTTGACCATGGACTGGAACGTCATAATAATGATCTGTGTTTGTCTTATTTTTTTCATCTAGGCATTGTGTCTGAAATTGCTAAAGGGCAAAAAGGACCCAAGTCTTTTAATTCTATTTGAATCTGGAGCAGCACATAACAAGTAGTCTTTAGATTTCTGGAGGAGAATGAGACCAAGCAGGTCCTGCTAATCTAGTGAAGGAGGTTGTGCTGGGCCAGTCCCAATTCCAGCTCACCTGAAGGGATAGCCGAACAAAACAATGATGGAGCTCACGTCCTTGGCTTCATTGTTGCAGCGAACCATTGCTCCTGTCTCCCCGCTGTAGGAGCCGCAGGACCCAAAGGCGAAAATAGCAAAGAGCTGAGAAAGAGTGAAGCCCTTTGAGAGTCAGAAGGACTCACCTGGACAAGGTAAAGAACCACCCCTCGACTCCAGCAGGTGCAGATGCTGAGGAGGGAAGGAGTGAGGTTCCCTTTGATCATGTTCCTCCTGGGCAGGGATCTATGACTGACATTCATCTTTCAGTTCAGGGTGTTGCATTCACTGCACAGGGTGCTGAACCAAGTAGCCAAATGAATAAGATAGACTTCAAGAAGTATCTCAGAGGGAGATGAAAGAGAGGAAATGGATAGTTTCCAAGTCTCCTCACTGGGCATAATATTGGGGACTATAAATAGCCTGTTTAAGATGACGACCAGCACAAACCTCTGTAAGTCAGGATTTTGAAATCTTCTATCTCAAAGCTAGACCTAATTTTCCTCCCAAAGGGAGAGGCAATCTCAGAAATACATTCCCCTGCACCAACCTTAAAATTCTTGTCATTTGTCCTTTGAATCAGTTGAAGAATCTTGCCCTTACCTTGTTGTTAAATTCTAGTGGTTTCCTGCCTCACTGGAGGTACAGTATAGCTGGTGGGCACAACTTCTACCCAGGCTTCCCATGGTCCTGCCAGCCTCGATCCTCTTCCCCCAAAGCACATTTCCTTCCAGCAACAGCGCTGGCTGGTCCAATGCTGACAATCCTGGCTCAAGCCCAGAGAAAAGTACCCTCCACTGCCTTATCATCTTCCACTATTTTCCTGCCAGTGTTTCCCTTTGTCATCTGTTGATGCTGGCATTTCTCAGTGTTAAGAACCAGACATGTTTCTGACCACTTCAATTGTTTTCTTGTCCACCTTTCATTGTATTTGACCACACCTCTTTTTTTGAGTGATATGAAATTCTCTTATCCTATGATTCTCAAATTTCTTTCTGGGAAACGCACTTTGGTGAGAAAAGGTGACAAGTCAGAATCTGTTATTCTCCCATATTGTGTGCTCAGCCCCAGTTTCCTGTACACCTACCTTTGGCTTGTATACAATGTAATCATTTTTATCACATGCTGATCTTATTCTGTTAATTGCTCATTTTCTGTTTGCTTCTCTGTGAGCCAGTGTCTTGAATATTAAACACCTAGAAGACAGCTAATTTACTCACCAGTCCTGCATCCGGTGTCTAGAATAGACTTGTACATTATTTTGTCAATGTTTGTTGGTGTTATGGTGGGAAAAAAGACCTGGATTAGGATCGTGGAAATCTGAGTTCTAGTCCTGGACCTGTCACTAATTAGTAAGGCATCTCTGCTCTCTGAGTCCCAGTTTCCTCACCTATACAATGAAGGGTTTGGAGATGATCTAGAGGGCCTTTGTAGCTCTGGAATTCTCTTACCCTCTGAGGCTAACACTACCAGTGTGCTCTTGGCTGAGTTTATGAACAGCTGTGCTCTGCCCCTGGGCAGTATCTGGTGCCACTGCCCCGCCTTGCATGGTCTGGCCTGGCAGAGCACCATGCTGGAGCCATTGACTTCTCTGTAAAGGTCATAATGTACACCTATGTTTTCAGGAGTTTTCTTCCAGGCAAATGAAAATTATCTCCATTTTTAAAGATGCCCAGGAAAGACGATGGTGTAACCTCTCTGCAATGCCTCCATAACTTCCATATTGGAACTAAACTATGTAAGCTGTGTCAGAGGCCTGCTTGCTCCTCTCCTGACAGAGCTGAGAGAAGTCAAAGGAAACCCCTGCAGCATTACTAGTCACATATCCAACATTGCTACCAGGCATAATTGCAGTGAAACTTCTTTAGTTCTTCTCTCATCTTTGTTGGCTCTGTGGCTCTGTGGCCCCAAACTGGACATAGGTTGTCATATATTAGGAAGGACAGCACAGTTGGTTGTATTTTACCCACCCCAGTTAATTGGTGAGTGGCTCCTTATAAGTATGGAGGTATTCCCAAGTAGGACCAACAAATGCTCAGTTATGTAGCCTCTTCTTCACTGGCCTTCTTTTAAAAGGCACTGCTGAACGTCTACAGAAAGATGGCATTTTTTTAGCACCTACCATGTATCAGGCACTGTTCTAGGCACTATTACTTAATAGTGAACAAAAGAGGGGGGAAAAACTTGTCTTCATGGACCTGCAGCTGCACTATCCAAAATGGCAGTCAGCAATGTTTGACTATTTAATTAATATAGACTAAAACTTACAATTCAATTGCTTAATCATACCAGCCACATTCAAACGCTCAGTAACCACACATGCTGGCAGGTATTAAAATAATTCTGAACCTGTTTTGATCCCAAAGAGGGAAAAAATACACCCAAACTATAACTTTACTGTTAATTCTATTCTCTTCTATTCTGATTCTTTGAAAGCCAAGAATCTAAACATCATCCATATGGCTTTTTTACTTTCTAAAATATGTTAGTTTACTTTATTTATTTAATTTGTGGTGTGGGGATTGAATTTAGGGCCTGGTGCATGCCCGAAACGGTAAGCAAATGGTAGGGAAGTGTGCTGTACCACTAAGCTACATACCCAGCTCCAAGTACACATAATTAAATCTGAATATCACACTGTCAGATGGTGACAGAAAACAGAGTCTGCTACACAAGTGGATAATGGGAAAATCTGAGGAGAACCTCACTGATTCATAGAGCAGCGGAATAAAAAGGATCTCAGAGATTATTAAGCCCAATGATTTCATTTCATAGAGGTGGAAACTGAAGCCCTAAAAGATAAGTGACTTTCCAAAAGTCACTTTTAGCTAATGTGAGAGCCAGTCTTCAAATTTGTATCTCCTAATTCCCTGTCCAGTGGTCTTTCTTTGGTGCTGACTTACCTGATGGTGTTAATCCTATGTCAATCCAGAGAATACCAACATCATCAGTTTAGGGCACAGGAAGATAAGTTATTTTACCAAATTCTACTCCACAATAATCCTCTTGGCTTTATGGGTTCTGCTAGTACCTTTTTAAATCCCCTACACTCACAGAAATAACTTTTTTTCATTACAGAGATCCTAGAGTAAAAAAATGGTCTCTGGCACCCCAAAGGCAAAATAATCATCAGGAGGGCACACCCAGCTAAAGGTAATATGATTTATTTATAAGCAAATGGGAATAATAATGGAATCAGCTGAAGATTTTTTGTACCTTCCCATCAAACAGGATTTGGCAGTAATATTTGAATAATCTCATTGAAGGACAAGTCTAGCTGGACAGTCTGCATTAGGGGAGACTCGGAAAAGAGGAGGTTTGGAAATAGGAGGGAAGGGAACTAACACTTACACAATTAGGTCCTGGAGTTCTGGGCCCACTGTGTTTTTCCTGAACGACGTATGCATTACAGACATTACCTCCTATAATCCTCCCAGGGAGCCCATAAAACAGGTCTGACCCTCATTTACAAATAAGGAAACCGAGGCCCATAACAATGTTATCACTTACTCAAGGATCTAGGGCTAGAAAGCAAAGGAGGAGACTGAATTTAAACCAAGTCCACCTGATCTCAAAAAACAAAACAAAACAAAAACTCCCCCAAAACAGCAACAAAAAAACTAGTTCTCCAATAATTGGTCTATACCCAGCTTACTTTGTAGCTTGATGTAGACTTAGGGAGAATCTGGAATTGGAATTAAGGTGAAATCAAGTAATATCTAAATTTTAAAGATATTCTAAACTATAATCTTGCCTCCTAAAAGAATTATATTACTTTCTTCCTGTAAGAATTCCAGTAAAACTTTTGCTTTTTTGGTAACAATGACAACAAAGGATTTCAATTACTATTAAAATAACTACAAGACTTGTACTTTCTTTTTTTCAATCTGTAGTCAGGAGCATTTTATCCCTTCAAGCAGAAAATGGGTGAAAAATCCCAATGATATTTTCACTACCATTCCTGGGTTGTGTTCCTGTGTGGTTTTATGTTAGCTCATCTACAAAGATTCAAAGCAAATGAAACTTAGGCCCTGAATTTATACTACCACATATGGCATTAAAACGGAATCATGATTGGGAATGAAGACTAGTTAAAGTCCAAACCTGGGTCCTTAGATTTAGCAATGTGAGAGAAAGGGGTCTCTGTGTAACTCCATCTCTTTGAAAATCTTAAAAGTCAATCAGGTCTTAATTCGTAGGGCATCAGCGCTGACCCCAGGAGAAGACTGAATCATTTCCCTATGAATTGCTTTGTGCAACCTTTATAGAAATCTGTGTACTGGGGGAGAAGAGGATAGCAGGATTGAAGAAGGAAGCTTTTCAAAATGCTCCCCAGAGCAGATGAGTCCATAGTCTAATAACCTCACTGTTTTTGCTCATCCCTTGACAATCTGTCTCCCATTTCTGTTAGAGCCATTTATCTACTTTTAATGATAAAATTGTACTCTTGCATTTCAGGTGCTGGTCATCTGGATTGCTGATAATGGCTCCACTCCTTCTGGATGCCAGTCACTTGGAGCCTTAATATCATTCTTATATAGCAGCCTCTAGTGTTTGAGCAGTGGATCAGAACAGCGAAGTGGCAGCAGGTGAAAGAGCTCAGTCAGCAGTAGGTTCTGTGGCTTTTGAGGCAGTAGGAATAGTGGAAAGTCCCACCAAGTCCCTGAGTTTGCACTTTGGAGCTCCCTATAGTCCTAATCAAGATCTCAGATATTCAGATAATCCTAAATGCACTATTGCTCCTGAATTCCAGATTTGATGATTCTCATCCAAACCATGATTTAGGAGTTGGTGATACAGTGCTAATTCCTGTCTCCAGTGAGTTCAAAGTTCTTTAGAACTCAATCTTCCTAAGTATTAATGTTAATTTATTCCCTCACTGAATTCTGTGCTGAAAGAACATTAATTATTTCTACACCATTTGATGTGTGGATTGTCTAACTTAAAATGTCTTCTTCAATAGTGCACGAATGCCTCCCCCCAACAAATCTTTATGTACCACACCTGTCCACATTAGTAATTTATACTCTTGGACACTGGGAAGAGCAGACAGCATACTAATATCTTAAAATACCAGTGAAGAAATTAGATGGTATTTCCACTAGGCCAAAACAGGGAAAGCAAGGATGCAGGCAAATGAGTTTTTCAAGGTCACAGGGTAAACCTAACAGCATGCCACCTGATCTAGAGCATAAGGGATCCTAGGGACAGTCAGATCCACATTTGACTAATGTTGGAAACTGAAAGTCCCAAGAAGTGACTTGCCCAAGGTCACACAGCTGGAAAAGGCAGGTCCGGGTCTGAAACTCAGAACTTCCCAGATCAGGATTCTATCTTATTCTACATGCCACATCACATTTTAGCCATGCTGTGATTTTTATTCTGTCTTAATTTTTTTAGAGCATGGGGCTGGTGTGCTACATTCATTCATTCATTCATTCATTCATTCATTCATTCACTCACAGACTCCCTCACTCCATTTCAGGAACGCGCATTACTACAGTGACCTCAGCAGGGAACCAACCCCCAGCTGGGAGCCTGTCTCTTGAGTCCGCTGCCAGGATCATTCAGGTCCTGGTGGGTTTGAGGACAGGATGGTTTCCATGGTTAGCCTCCTTCCCTCCTTCGCCCTCTGCGGCTTCCCTAATGGTGAAGAACAGAGCGGACCTAGTCCCCCTTGTCCTCCTCCCCCCTCCTGCTACCGAGGAGTGGTATGTGTAGGATCAGAGTTCTGGAAAGGTTACACCCGGGTCCTCTCGCCCGAGTGAAATGTGAGCGTGCTGGGCAAAGGCTCCTTGCACATAGAAGGACCGAATCCAGGACTCCGCATGCCTCGCTCCTCATCCTCTGCCACCGAGCGCTGGAGAAGCAGCCCGCGCGCTCCCCTCCCCCGCCCACCTGTCGCCGCCCCCCACCCTTCCGCCGTGGCCCGGCCGCTGCACCTCCCCAGCCCCCACCCGGACCACATTGCTTCTGGTCAGCGTCCCAGCCCAGGCTCCCGAAATAGCCCCGGGCTGGGGCAGAGACTCACCCACTGGAGAACTTTGATGAAGCCCAGCGGCTCCTCCAGCCGCCGCCAGCGCAGCCCCACGAGCAGGCGGTCTACCTGCAGGGACAGAGCCAGCGGGGGTTGAGGCGGCAGGGCCCGGGAAGGAGCTGGTGCCCCTCCTGCTACTCACCCACATGGGGGCAGGGATCGGAGTCAGGGCCAGGCGCGACAGCCAGGTGGAGGGGGACAGTGAGCGAGCCCACGGGCGCGGGGAGCAGTACCTGCTGGCGCGGCGACTTGTCTGCCGTGCGGCCGGAGCTCTCCGTGGAGGACATGGTGGCGCGGTGGGCCCGGGGCGCGGCGTGGGGGCTCGGCTGCCTCGCCCGGGGGTCTGTGGGCACCGCGGTGGGGCTGGGGGCTGCTGGCTCGCGGCCGTCGGCCGGCCGGGATCCAGGCTGGTGGGGTGGGGTCGCGGGGTTGCGCGTGCTCGCCTCGCGAGGCTGTGGCCGCCTCTCTGCCCGCCGGCAGCAGAAAGCCCCCGAGTCCGATTCAAACTCCTGTCAAACTCGCAGGCGAAGTTGGCAGCTGGGTCACGTGGCGAGCGCTCACGGAGCCTGCTCCCGCCCCCTTCTCTCCCCTTTCTCTGCTCTCAGGGCGCCTTAAAGGGATCTGTGGCCTCCCAGGGCAGTGGTTCTTTGCCAGAAGCCTCCGGGCCGAGCAGCACCGAGTCCACAGCTGCTCCAACACCGGGCGAAGGTCGGGAACTCTCGCTTGGCGCGCGGAGACGCGGGGCTCCTAAGTCTATGTCTTCCCGTTTGCCCGAGTTCGGAACTGTTCTGCCCTGGTTTTTCTTCTCTTCCATACCATAATATCCAGAATTTAAAAAGATTTTCATGAAGCACTGTTAGTATTCCCGTTAACACATCTCGCTCGCTTCCAAAATCCCCTAGAGCCAGTACTGACGAAAGGGGCGCTAGGATATAAACTGCTCACTTTTTATTCTAAGTAGGCAACAGCGACAAAAGGCTGTATGTTAGTAATTTAAAACTTATTAACCTTAAAAAAGTATAAATTCGATCTTCTTTAAAATAGCCAACACCATTTAAATGAGTGAAAAGCCCTTGAGGCATGATGGGCTCATACTGTAGTTTGTACTGAACTTGGCAGAATCGCATTTTGATGCACTTAAATCGGTCTTATTTTTCGAAAAGCATTCAGCAGGAGCCCCGTATGAGCAGTTGTGAGTGTCACACATTTATTTTACGGGAGAGTAAATGTAAGTAGTAAACGATTTGTCCAAGGTCGCTGAGTGAGTGAGTCAGTGGACAACGACTGGGAGGAGGGAACCTGCCTGCCTCTTAGGGACTGGCTCATAAATACCAATCCATCTCATTGAAGTCATTCTTGGAGCTGCCGCAAACCCCACCCAGCACTTCAGAATGAAGGCTTTCAAACAAACGCTTGGACGTTATTTATATAATTCATTCTTCCATTGAGTGCCTTCCCAAGGTTGAGGATGAGTGGGTGGGACAGGCAGCTCAGACTGGGATCCATCCTCCTGGGGTTTAAGAGAATGTTTCTGGTGGGTTTCCGTGCAATCTGAACTAAACAAGGAACATCTGATTCCCCAATACAGCTCTTAATAAATTGTTCTGTCATCTTAGATTCCCTTTAAATGGAAGAGAGATAATAATTTCTGTCCTACTTATTTCATAAGGCCATTATGAAGATTATGTGATGTTTGTAAATGCCCACACCATACAAATATGAAATAACACATAGTACCAATGTGTACAATAAATGCACACAGAATACAATGCCATCAGAAAGACTCAATAATGCAGCAAAAAATCCCCATACCCACTGACTAGCCCTGTTAAACTTTCACAATTGTCCTTGTTTGGTTCAAATCCATTTGTAAAAAAAGAAATAAAAATTGCAGGTAAAATCAAAGCCTTGTGTATCCTTGTCTTTCTCTTTCTCATTTCTTTCTAGAAATAACCATTATTATGTCTTGAATTTGTTTTTTAATCAGGCTCATGCATGTTTTAACACTTTCTCTCTGTCTATACAGTATGAGTATAGCTAGAAACAGTATATAGACTCATCAAACATAAGTAATGCTTTCCAAGTTGTTTTAAATTTATCTTTAAAATATGCTTTAGGCAAACTTCAACTTGTTTTGTTTTTTTAAAAAAAAACACCTTAATATTGTGCTAGTGAGAGTTATCTAGACAGAAGCATGTAGCTCTATAGAATTCCACTTCATACATATAATAGTAAATTTACATTCACAACGACAAACATTTGATTTGTTTCCAAATATCAACTCTTACAGTGCTACATTGAATGAATACACATCTGGCGCACATTGCATAGGTTTCTACACAGCACTGAATTTCCAATTGATGTGTGTATGTATCTGTTTAAACATAAGAATATAAATTGTGACCTGATCCATTAAATAAACTCAAACATTTGAGAAAAAGTCATATTTTCCATTCTATTTTAATAAAATATATATGGCTACCTAGAGGCAGGTCCAGGTTTTGTGAGGTCTAAAGTTAATATTCCTTTTAAAAGAATGCAAAATTCTTTTTTAGACAGGGTCTTGTCACATGTTCCAGGCTGAATACACTATGTAGCCCAAGCTGGCCTCGAATTCAGGGACCCTCCTGCCTCATCTTCCCAAGTGTTGTGATTACAGGCATGTGCCGCTACACCTGGCAGGATACAAAATTCTTAATTCAAAATTAGTAACAAGGCCTTGGAAATGAAGGGCCCTGAGGTTTGAGCCTCATTAGTTTCAAGATGAATACCCTTCTGATAAGGTACAATGAGTAGATTCGACAATTCACTAGCAATGTGTCTCTAATAGCAGTTTGATAGACGTTACACTATATCTAAAAGTGAGCCAGCCAGACCATAAGATGTGAAGATTTTCAACTTTGAATTGTCACAAATGTATACACCATGTCACCACCAACCACCACCACAACCACCACCATCACCAAGACATATATCATTTATCTTTCCAAAGAGCTCCTTTCTGCTCTTTTGCAGTCAATCCCTAGTCAACCACTGATTTGCTTTCTGTCATTATAAATGTGTTTTGCTTTCCTCTAGAATTTCAAATAAATTATATATTATGTTCTTTTATTGAAATGAATTTCAAATGAAATTATACGCTATGTACTCATCTGTGTATGACTTCTCCACTCCACAAAATGTTTTTGATCTCATCCATATCATTACACACACCATTAGTTTAATCTGTTCTGTTGCTGAGTAGTCTGTAATATGAACTACTGTGGTATGATCAAAAAGTGAGATGAATGCTGAAAAAAAATTTTAAAAACATTTTATTGCAGTAAAAGACACGTCATTAATCCCCTTCAAAATACTACCGCTTGCTTTGAACACACTTACCCCCATCATTCTTGCCAGTTTCTGAAGCAGTTCTGGAAGTTCTCTTTCATGAGTGACATTTTAGTTGCACGGTTGCAGCTGCTTTGATGTCCTGAACTAATTTAAATTTTTTTTTTTTTTTTTTTTTTTTTTTTGGTACCAGGGATCAAACTCGGGTCCTTGCACTTGCAGAGCAGGCGGCAGAACCACTGAGCCAGATCCCCGGCTGATTTAAAATTTTTACCTTTTGTGGTCATTTCAACTCTGAGAAAGAGTCAGAAGTCACACAGTGTCAAATACAGTAGATGAGGATACATGGCAATGTTTTTATTTGACAGAAATTCCTGTCTTTCGATCAGTGAGGTATGATCACAAAATATGATAAATGTTTAAATTTTAAAATGTATTACAGTTAAAGACACATTGCCATTAATCCTCCCCCTCACTTCAAACATAATTGTCCCATCATTTTGGCAATGTGTCTTTTACTATAATAAGTTTTTTTAAAAAATCAATATGTTTACCTTAGTTTTTGATTCCCTTAGTATTCTCACCCTTTGTATGATCCATCAGCTTCTTTGTCCATTCACCTGCTGAAGTACATTTGTATTGTTTCCATTTCTTTTGCTGTTATGAGTAGAGCCACTAGAAACATACTTGTACACATTTTTGTGTGAATGTAAGTTTTTATTTCTAAGGTGAATACCCCAAAATGGAGTTGCTAGGTCATAAGTAGATACTTAACTTCATATGAAACTGCCAAATTTTTCTCCCAAGTGGCTGTACCCCTTTGTATTCCCACCAACAATGTACTCTAGTTGCTTTGCATCTTCTCCGGAAACTTGTAATATTATATGTATATGTGGTGGTATCACATTGCAGTTTTAATTTGCATTTCTCCAGTGGCTAATAATGTTAAATGTCTTTTGATGGGTTTATTTTGTCATTTGAGTATCTTCTTTGGGGAAGTACTCAGTTCAAATTTTTGTTCCTTTAAAAATTGGATTTTGTGCTTTTTACTATTGAGTTTTGAGAATTCCTTATACATTCTGGATACAAGTTCTTTGTTGTGTATATGATTTGCATATATTTTCTCCCTGTATCCAGTTTTTTTTTCATTCTTCTGACATTGTTTTTGGAGAGCAAAAGTGCTGGATATAGTAAGTCTTAAAATAGAGTAATAATTCACCAACTTTTTTCTTCAAAATTATTTTAGCTATTCTGCTTTCTTTGTCTTTCAAAATAAGACAAGATAAGCTTGTCTATATCAAAAATTAGGCTTGTATTTTTATTGTAATTGCATTAAATCTGTAGATCTATCTAGGGAAAATGGATATCATTATTATATTCAGTTTTCTGATCCATGAACATGGGATGCTTCTCCATTTACTTAAGTATTCTTTGGTTTTGTTTCATCAGTATTTTGTAGTTTTAAGCATACAGATTATGTACATATTGTGGTAGACTTAAACATTAGTACTTAATTTTGGGGATGCCATTGTAAATGGTATTATTTCAAGTCTATTTTTAATACACAATTGGTAGTATATAGAAATATGATTTGTTTCTATTAATATTATATCCTGTGACCTTTACAATTTCATGTTTTGGGCATAGTGGTTCATGCCTATAATCCCAGCCCTTAGGAGGCTGAGGCAGGAGGATCACTGTGAGTTTGAGGTCATAAACAAAAGAACATTGAAGGAAGTTATATAAACAGAGACTGCTATTAGGATCATCAAATACAATCCTGTACTGTAAGGTATACTATATGATATGATGTCATGACTAAGGTACCAGATTGTATATTTAATTTTTTTTAAAAAAAATGAAGGACAGTATAGAGGGGCGAGAGGGAAGGAGGAAAGGCAAAAAAGAGGGAGGAGAGAGAGAGAAGGGGAGGGAGGGAAGGAAGAGGGGAAAAGAGAGAGATTT